TTTTGTTTTTTTTTTTACTGAAATGCGCAACCGAAAGATGAATATCTAATCTAATTTTTATGGACTCCATAAATAATAGTAAATAACGTGAGATCGTTTTCTAAAACTTGCCAAATACCCTATTGCTATTGAGGAGCTAGATGGCGCCAGTGGTAAGCGCGTTCGGCTGCGGTCGTTGAAGTTGAGCAACTTTCGCAGTGGTCGGTCATTGGATGGGTGACCAAAATTTTACTATCTCGAGCTCCTCCGTGCTTCGGAAGGCACGTTAAGCCGTTGGTCCCGGCTGCATCTGCAATCGTTAGCACCCACCAACCCGCACTGGCCCCGCGTGGTGGGTCATGGTCCAATCTCCCTAATCCATCCATAGGGAAGGCCTGTGCCCCAGCAGTGGGGTCATTAATAGGCTGATGATGATGATGTTGAGGATCCAATTGGTACTAGACCAAAATAAGAGTTCACGGCACTTTGCTATGCTTTGAATTAATTGATGTCCCTGAGCGAGGGGCCGTATGAGTACGGCAGTCAGCGTTGCCAGACGTCCCGATTTTTGGAACGAAGTTCCTTATCGCGCGTTGTGAAAGGGGGCTAGACGGAAAAAAATATTACGAAAAGTTGTCACGACACTTTTTGCTATAGTAAGCTATTGTAAGCTGTGCGGCGTCGCATGTTTCTCTGTACGTCTCTCTCTCTCTTATAGAAAGCAAGCCAGATATTTTCATTTCTTAAGTTTATATAACAACGTTTGATTAAGTTTATGTAACATTATATTTGTTAATAATAAAAAAAAAATTATTATAACTTAAAAAAAATAAAATTTATTACAATTCCTTCACAAATTAATCGAAAGGAACTTCGTTCCATCCGGGTGCCCCTTGACACCTTTCAAGTTTTTTAAATCAAATTAAATGTCCCGCGCGGGACTGGCTCAATCCCGCTTTTCGGGAATAACTCGACCGTGCGTGCAGCGTATTGAGAAAGCGCGGGCGGGTGGCACAGACAAGTGTGGACTGGCCACCTGAACGGCGCATAATGAAGAACTCTCAAACAAAGACAACTATTTAACGATAGATATTTAAGCCATTAATTTGATATGTATTAGGCTATTTAACGACAAAATGTCTATAGAAGCAGCCAGTATTAGATATTTGATATTTGTCAGAAATCTGAATAAATGAGACCGTAAGTGAAATTGGTGTCGATTCTGGCTTGATTCTTTAAACTTAAAACTAAATTTAACATCAGTCTCTCCTTTTCATTCTGTATAGAGAACAGGGATGTTAAGGAGCATCGACTCCGATTCCGATAAGCCGGAACTTCCAATTATTATTACACCTTCGGTTCCGATTTCAGCTGCGATAGCTTTTAAATCGGAGGCCGAAGCATAGCAAATAGCGACGGGGCGACCTGCGTCGACCTTTACGAACTGGTTCATACCCGTCGCGTTGGGAGTCTGTGTTATTGATTAGTAAATTAAAAATGAAAAATGGTTATTCTTTAATTAAAATGAAGAAAGGTTGACAGCATGTTGTTTTTATTTGTTCTTAAATTAAACATATATCTCTTGTGACCACTTCTGACTCTGCCTCTAAGCCCGACTCTGCCTCCGACTCCGGTTCCGACTCCGATAAATCAAATTTAAAAACTCCGACTTCGGTTCTGATAAATTACCTTCGTTACATCCCTGATAGAGAATGACAAGGATGCACTGTTGTCAAATTTAAGTTTAGGTTTAGAGAATCATGTCAGAATCGACACCATTGCATCTTACAGAATACCTATGCTGAACACGATACGAATAAGGTCAAGGTAACATCGAATCTTGATTTTAAGGATAATCCTTTAGGAAGGGAAAGTCACTGTGTCTCTCCGAATCACACCGAGCTCACGACCTTCCGACTTCACCAGTGCGACAGACATCGATTAACGATTTGGCATCGAGTACAGTCGGTGTCAGGACACGGTCGGTTTGTTCAGGATATCGATTACGGGGGATATCTCTTCTGTCACGATCACGATCATGCCTATTTATCTGTTGGTATCATTTGTGGATACCAGACAAGATTAGAAAGGGCTACATTTGTATCAGGTTCATTAAACTCTAGCTCCATTATTATTAAACGAGGAATAAGCTCAGGCTAGTATCGCCGTTTTTTCATGTCACTCAAATGTCATTTGTCACTGAATGAACAGAGACAAAACAAGGAGTAACTAATCCAAGCTTATTCTTGGTTTATTAATAAGGGGGTACAAATGATTGATATTTTTTATACTGGGGGCCATTCGCCTAACGGAAATGCTTTGGAAAACGCAAACGCTTTCGATTTCATTTTACTTATTGTTATTACCAATGCGAAAGAAAAAAAAGCGCGACGCATTGAAGAGCTCAGGCGACTAGAAATAACAAAATGAAATCGTAAGCGTTAGCGTTCACCAAAGCATTTCCGTTAGGCGAATGGCCCCCTGATGGAAAACTTACTATTACGTTTAAACTACGACTGAAATCCTTTTTTGTTAGATGCTATGATATTTGGAAGTATAAAATATGGTTGAGGCTTTCGGTCAGTACAGTAAAATCAAGGACATTTATTTTTCACATTTAACTGGTTCGAGTTCCGTTCAGTTGGGCATTTTTTGATTGCCTAAATGCAGTTCGTATTTTTTTTTATAAAAGTAAAATCTTCGTTCAGTAAAATTTTCTATCTACAGTTTTTTAAGTACTTTCCCCACCGAGTGCGTGTGTTTTCGGATAGATGTTGTATTAAACACTTTAGAAATAAAAGGTAATATCGTTTCGCTTCGTTTTCGCCTGTGCCTCAGCAGTGGGGGCATTAATAGGCTGATTATGATGATTATAATAGTTTCGTATAGCAACAGTTGTTTTTATAATCTAAATAATAAAAAGATCTTGGCAACAAATCTCAATTGGACCTATCACTTGCTGATGTTTGGTTTTTCAAACTGGCCGTATATTGGCAATTTTTTATACCATTATTGTTTTATTGAGCGGTATAAAAATAAATCTATGGAAGTGGTTTGGTATCAACCGAACTAGCCGAAGTCTTTTTTTTTTATATAAGTACGGGCATATAAATATTTTTTTTTCCAACACACACCAATTAACCTAGCCCCAAAGTAAGCACTATAAGGCTTGTGTTATGGGATACTAGGGTAACGGATAGAATACACATACTGTACATATATCAGTATATTTATATAGGAATACATATTAAATATCCATGACTGGAGTACATTGTATCGTTTAATGACAGTCGTGTGACGTCACATAGCAGTGAGACTCCATTATGTTCAGACCTACGGTTCAGACACACGTTTTCGCGGCAACTTTAAAATGGTATTTATGATTTAGTTTTTTTTTTCACTGAAAAACGTAAATATCGTGAGATTGTTTTCTAAAACTTGTTAAATAATAGACCAAAATAAGAGCGCACGGCACTTTGATATGCTTTAAATGAATCGTATCCATCACACAAACATCTGGCCCCCACCGGGATTCGAACCCTGAACCTCTCGAGTCGGTGACACCATGAAACCCGGCGTACGAACCACTTGGCCACGGCCGTCTTCGCTTTGTTTGATTTATCAGTATTTTGTCCATGGGCTAGTAATATTCACAGCTTTATACCTGTCCGTTGCATAAATTCTCCTTGACCCGTTGACCTTTCTGCTCAGTGATACGTAAAATTGTCACGTCTTCTTTGCGCATAAAGTACATTCCCGAATTCCACCTATGTTAAGTGATAATGTGATTCAATTTTTCCATACGAAAATTCTTTTTTCCTTTCGGCTATTGGCTTAAGTGGTTTTGTTAGCATTTCGCGTACAGAAGGAGCTATAGGCGATTGCATTTCGTTTTGATTTGCAACACAATTTACTCTAGTTAAAGGAGACTAAAAATTTGAACTATTATGTTTAATTAAATTAATTTTGATTGCCAGTGGGTGTGTTGTCTGCGCAATACAGCTTCATTTTGTTTAATAGCGCGCACTGCTCTGTGCTTCGGAAGACACGTTAAGGCGTTGATCCTTGCTGCATCTGCAGTCGTTAGCAACAATCTGCACTGGGCTCGCGTGGTGTGTCATAACCCAATCTCCCTATTCCATCCATAAGGAAGGCTGCAGTGCCCTAGCAGTGTTCAAATAAAATGAAAATATACTTGATTCAAATTGACTTATTATAATCTCTTTTGAATCATCCAAGATTTTTTCCTATCATCCTTTCAGGACAACTCTTTTCTGATAAGAAGAAAGGGCGCAAGGAACTTATCAACATTTAATAGAAGTAGCAACATTTACATAAAATCATGTCGCTACCAATACAACTAATTAGATAGATTAAATAGATAGATTAGTTACATTTAAATTTATTGACTTTGCTTACTTCAATGGGCGAAGCGTTCTTTATTACTAGATACTTCGATCATTCAAGGGACATTAATAGACTTATGATGAAGATGTGTGACTTTGTTCCAGAGTTGGTGAAGGCGTAAGAATCATAACCCAATCTCCCTATTCCTAGCATAGCGAAAACCTATGCCCCATCAGTGGGGACATTAATAGGCTGATGATGAATGTAGTGTGGCACTGTTCCAGAGCTGGTAAAGGCGTGGGAGTCATGACCCAATCTCCCTATTCCATCCATAGCGAAGGTCTGTGCCCCATCAGTAGGGACATTAATAGGCTGATGATGAATGTAGTGTGGCATTGTTCCAGAGCTGGTAAAGGCGTGAGAGTCATGACCCAATCTCCCTATTCCATTCATAGCAAAGGTCTGTGCCCCATCAGTGGGTTCATTAATAGGCTGATGATGAATGTAGTGTGGCATTGTTCCAGAGCTGGTAAAGGCGTGAGAGTCATGACCCAATCTCCCTATTCCATCCTTAATGAAAGCCTGTGCCCTATCAGTGAGTACTTTAATAGGCTGATGCTGAATGTAGTGTGGCATTGTTCCAGAGCGGGTGAAGGCGTGACCGTGGCGGCGACATGAGCACGGCGGCGCTGCGGGCGGACGGCGCGGGCGACTCCACGCCCGGCTCCGACGTCGGCGAGCGCATCACGCGCCTCTTCCCCAAGTGCCGTCCCAAGAACATGCAGCACCAGCACGAAAGGTGACGAGCAACATACTGCTTCGTAATCGGTTACTAACAACACTGCAGTTTCTTTTAACACGTTGGCAGTCAACTTGCCGTAGCATAACGAGTCAAACTTAATGGCAACTGTGAAGCTAGCACAGGGCGTGGCGCAGTAACTAACGTAATGTTGACGCGCGGGGCGGCGTTGAACGGAATCCTGCACATAGTCGCGCTCGCTGCTAACTTCATAGCCGCCAACTACTTAGAATTGCACTAAACTTATGTGCGGGAATATCTTTAGCGGTACCTACAAAAGTTTGTGTTAGTTAATGGGCCCATCTATTCATTTTATATTTGTGTTCGTCTAATCATAGTACATTCGATGGATTGTTAACGTGTTACAACATGCTGCAGTTAGACTCTCATGTATATAACGCTCAAATAATCCTGCAGTCATTTTCGAGCAAAGAACATTGAAAAATACTCTGGCAATTAGTAATGTAGCGTAAGCATAAAAAGGTGAGGAAGTGACATTTGCCAAAGAGCTCCACTTAACGCTTTGCTAAGTTCAGAATTAATATGATAATGCTTGGAAATAGGGCTTAAAGCCAAACAGTAGGCACCGAAGGAATATCATGAAATCTGATCAAGTCTCTGACCTTAATTGTTTTGATGATTGAGGTTGGTACAACATCAACGCTGTTTGCTTAGCTTAAAAAATACCTTAGCACTTTATGGTTCTGCCCAACTGCTCAAGCTTTGTCCTCAATAGCCACGTCCGCGCCTCTAGCAAGCTAAAAGCTAGTTATAAACTTTGTCAACAAAAAAAAGGACGAACTTGTAAACCATCTGAGATCTCGCAATTTGTTATCCTACCCACTAATCAAGTGACTCGCGAGAAAGTTTCCTCAAAAATTTCAACCGTAATGATCCCTGGGTTCTTCATTAATATTGTGGACACAGATCCGGTACACAATTAATTATACGGCTAACAAAGTTGGTGTCAACTTCTTTAAATGTGATCTTGTAAAATACAAAAATATCCAAATGATCCGCCGTCGTTAACTCGGAACAAATCGGCGAACTTTGACAACTTGAAAAGAATAGGAAAAAAAGACATGACATTAATAGCAAAGTGTTCGGTTCTCGGTATTCACTCACAAGGGCGGACATCTTAGAGATCTGTGGATACTTCTTAGACACTTATAATTTTGTTTGTATTTTACAGTTCTGCCTTTTGACTGCACTGGTAGCTTGTAAGTTTGATTTTGGAATTGTAATAGAGATAATTGCAACTATTTCATTAATTTAGTTAATCCTCTCTATCTAGTGGAATGCTACTAAGTGCAATGTGTTTTGTGGCGAAGTATCGTTGAACTGCCGCGATAATTTACCGCGTTTCCGATCTCGCCCATTCCAACCTTTAGGAATTCGATGTAGGCACTTTATTTGCATTTTATTTCCTGTCTTGTTTGTTTTGCGAATGTTCCGCTTCGGTTAAGAGGGTATTTTGTTTAGGTACTAAGATTAATCCTAACAACAATGATGGTTTTTTTCTTTAGGAGAACACGTAATACGGGAATACCTATGTAATTACGAGTTCTAGGCCTCCATTAAACACATTTCACAGAATACATAACGGTATTCGTTGTAATTGAGGTAATGCACTTAAAACATATTTTACCTATTAGGATGTATGCAATAGTATGTTTCCATTATTTACGCTTGCTCTTCTAATGATTTGTTTTCCTAAGTTTTCACATTAATTGCAGTAGCTTGCGTCTGAAGATTGCCACAAATAACGTTGTTTTTGTCTGAGAATGCTATTTTAACATTCCCCATAATTTATGGTTTCTACTGAGCATAGCATTATTGAAACTATGAATAAGTTTAGTGTCCCAAACGGGCCACCGTTAACCTTTGGACCCCTTTACAGACTGAACTCCGGGCTGGAGGGGCGGGAGAACGATGTCAACATCTCCTCGGACGAGGGGGGGGAGGGCCAGCTAGTCATTCTCAACTCTAAAGGCGGCACTTACAAACTCAGGGACTCTAGGTAAGAACACCTCATAAATCACGGAAACTATCGCAGTTAACGTTTATTAGACTGAAGTACCTACTAATTCATGTTTAATGTGAAAATAAGTTTGATTGTTTTATTTGTGGCTCGCTGTGAGACTTGATACTTTAAAGGTTTGTTTGTTACTGTTGTGTATTTATATCGGAGCTGCTTCTTCTTCAGCTGGGAATTTAAATAACTCAATGATAAAATCTTTAACTAAACATGAAAAATTCAAGACCAGTATAACATAACTCATAATAAATTTATTGAAAACAAGTAGTGATAGTATTAAGTTTTAATCTACCAATATTTGATACGCAATTCAATAAGATTTTTCTGTATGCCAGGATAATAGAAATAGCGGGAGGTCGTGAGATATACTCGCAGAGTCGCACCAAGGCGGTGCGCAAGCTGCGGCACAATAGCACTCACAAACACAACATGAGGAACAAAGTGCGGTCTCTTAACAAGGACACCGTTGATTATGCAACAGAGAACATACCTAACGAGGTAATCAATATGTCTTTTCCTATTTCAGCTAGCATTATTGACGAGAACATTAACTTATTTTAAGGTTTTACTTGCTCATTTTGATCTCTGTTTAAGAAAAAATATATACATTCAGGAGAGAAAGGTATCGTACCGAATACAACATTTAGTATATTTAATTTAGGTGGACTCTATGAAAACTAGGTAAGGTTGTTTAAAGAAATTGAAATAAGACTTTTTTTGTTTGATAATTAGCATGCAAATATGGATATCGACGCTGAACGGGGTTTTGTAGGTTTAAAACTATTTATTTTTGATAATCAAGAACCAATAACTACATAATTATAATCTCCAGTATAGAAAGCAGATCGAAAACCGCGTTAGGCTCTTATCAAATTTGGATAGGCAGTGAGGGAAATACTGGCAGTGGAGTGAACGTCAATGCGCATTCTAAATAAACCTAACAACGAAATAAGTATAAAAATAGGTTGCAAGTTCCAGGTATCCATTGATTAAGGTGGTTCGTTCTATGAATATACTTTTTCAAAGACAAAATGTTGCTCAACATTTTTGTAACAATATAACACCTACTGTTTTCCCAACAGATACCACTACATAGACTAAACAGCGAGCCCAAGAAAATGGTATCTCGACACACATCACCAACGTACACGAACGGAGAAAGGGACCCAATAATTGAATCGAACACCATGGGTATACCGAAAAACAGCTCCCCCATATTGGATCCCCATAAAACTAATGACGTCAGCACTAAAAGTAGTCCCATAGCGGTAGTTGCCGATGGGGAAGTTGTCGTATTTGATGACAACGACGACTGGAAAGGTGATTTCATTTGTGTATTACTTTATATAGCTTCGGCAGTATTATTAAGCAACGCTAAATATCACGAATATACTAAAAAAACTCCTAAACCTTGTTTGTTTTATGAAACATGATTATTTTTCTATTTGTTGAACTTGGGTACTGCAGCTTGGAAGTATGAATCCTCAAACTAAAAGATTTATATATAAGCTTTAATGACGACCTCCGTGACCGTTGGTTTGTACGCCGGGTCTCAAGGTGTCGCCTACTCAATAGATCCCGTGTTCGAATCCCGGTGGGCGCAAATGTTTGTGTGATGAATACGAGCATTTGTTCTTCAGTCATGGATGTTTAATATGTATTGCTATGTAAATATACTTATATATGTATCACTATATGTATTCTATCCGTTACCCTAGCATCTAATAACACAAGCCTGCAGTGCTTACTTTGGGGCTAGGCTAGGTGTGAGTGTTGGAAATATTTATTCATTATTATTTATTTAATATCGATTTAGACTAGCTCCTAAATCGATATTAAATAAATAATACTTGATACTTGTGACAATAACAAGCGGCATGCGATTTGAACTATACACTTTTTGAATCCGCAATTTTTTAATTTAAATAAGTATCGAAACATGGTATTTTTATTAACTTACAGTTTCAATAGTTTCTAAATTATATGTATTTAATCAAGTACTACAATAAAATTCAAACCTTAAATATGTCTCGCCTAGAGTTCAACTCACTTATATCGTGAATGTATTAGCAAGGTAGTCGTGTAGCGTTGCTTAATAAAACTAATGAAGCTATTCATTAACTTCATAAACTTTTGGGATCTTCATGCAACAGCTAGATGCAAACAAATGAGCTTTTCTACAAATATAATTGATTATTATCACAGGAATTTCTTTCTTTTCCTATCGACATTGCATTTTCATCATTCTTCAACCTCGTTAACTTTGCTTTTTACGTTCGCTTTTGCTTTGTCCACTCTCTTCTATTTAACACTTGGTTTGATACTCTTACAGTGTGCCATTGTTGTCCGAGTTCATTTTTTAATTGGACCTAATTGGAGTTGGCATCAGAATAGAATTGTCTGAATCTAAAGATAACTGTTTTCAGAGTTGTAATTTCGCAAGTCATTTGGATAACACTGGCATTCTCATTATTCTTATTTGAACCTCTTTCCGTCCTTCCCCGATTTAACCATTGTTATTCACAAAATCTTTTTGTCTCTCTCTTTTATTTTCAGTGATATTGAATTCTGTGTCTCTAGGTTTGAGGACGGAACCGGAAGCTAGTGATGATGAGATAGATATGAGTGTAAAAAGGACTTTAGACAATATAAAAAATGGTGATAGTGATATGTTGAACAATAAGAGTGAACTTAGTTGTGATGGAGAGAGTGAGTCGTCTCCTTCTAGAGAAGACGTGAGGTTAAGTGATGCGAGCCCCTCGGGGGTGTGGTTATCGGGTGATGAAGACAAAAGCAGGGTGACTAGGGTAATAGGGGAGCTGCCTATAGCTGAATACGAAGGATCGCCGCGGAGATATGGCATTGTCCCACAAAAGACTTGTAACAGATCGCCGCGGCCTGGCTTCCCACAGGTAAGATCATTTATCGTTAACGTTGTTACCTTTTAAATTATATGCGACAACACCACTTCGTCCGTACTCAGAAGCGAGTGCGCCGAATTTTTTGAGAGCTCTCGGTTATTTTTCTAATATGAATTAATCGATAATTTCTGGAGTTTACTTCGATTAATGAAAGAAAATGAATATCGAAATCGAGTGATAGACGCTTGAGTAATGCAATGCAACATTTTTGACAGTAAACAAAGTTATTTTTTACAATAAAAGTCCCGCCGTATATAATGGAACTAAATCAACAGATCTGTAGTGTTGTCGTTGATTTGGCTTCAGTAAAACTTTTACGCTATTTGTTGTGTTTTAGGTATTATTTAAAATGCGCTCCCTTTATCTGGTAGAATCTTGTTGCTTCGAAATTCATTTGTCATTTCAGGCTTGGCATAATATTCTTTAAACGATTATTTTAAGGCATATTTTTTATGAATATTGTTATTGTTTGACTGAACGATTATATGTCCGATTTCACAATCGCAGAAGGCAGTAGCAGAATTTTATTAGGCATAAATTACCTTCGGCGGTTAGTGTGGTGACCTAAACTTAGAGCGAGCCGAACAAGCAAAGCGAGCGTGCCGCGCCAGCAGCCGGGGAAGGGCCATCTGCTTTGTAGATAAATAAAACAAGGAAAAGTTTAATAAATATTCTATGCCAAAAGAGGATTCTGACTGTAAACTTCCTGCGATATGATGGTTCAGCTTTTTAATTATTGTGAATATTAAACGTACGCCTAAATATGATTCTAGCTTACAAAATTATGCGTTAGAATGTTTGCTAAATGTGGAAATGACAAATGATTTTCTACGCAATGAAGTCGATGCCATCTGTGCGCTGATGTGCATAACAATAATTATGGCATTAAAAGTTCTGCGATACAGGGAAACCCATTTAAAATGGCCATGATTTGTGCGAGAAATTATCTTAAGAGTAACATCAGGGACCCAAGTACGAACCTTGAGAAATCCGTAATCGTATCATCATCGTCAAATGTTGTATGGAAGGAGTCAGTTTGTTCTTATATCCCCTGCTTAGCTTCCATAGAAACTATGGCGATGCGAAACGATTAGCGGAAGGTTCAGGATTGAATCCTTTTTGATATCTGGATCGAGTAAATTTTCATTATATATTTTTTAGATTTTTTTTGACTCCACAGTTCATTTTAATAACTATATTTTCAGAGAGTAGTAACGGAGAGCAGGGATGTGACACCACCGTCAGGGTCTGCGGCATTCGACTACTTGTACGAATTCTCGGAAACGAGGAAGGTGCTCGAGGAGTTCTTCAGGTGTCCCGCCGTCTCTGGCCACGCACAGCTCAACGTTAACGATGAGATCGTTAATTTCCAGGTTGGTGCATTCTTCGATAAAACTGTTTTTAACAAAATATAAAAGCCGACTTCATGAAAACAAAACCACTAAAAATTAAGAAATTACTTTAATTTTATTGCATCATCATCAACCCATTATTGTCTCCACTGCTGGGGCACAGGCCTTCCCTAGAGATGAAAAAGGGAGATTGGGCGATGACTCACCACGCCGTGTGAATTGGTGGCCTGCTAACGATTGCAGATGCAGCTGGGACCAACGGTTTAACGTGCCTTCTGAAATACGGAAGACCTCGAGATTAAATTTTTGGTCACCCATCCAATATCTGACCACTGTGAAGGTTGATTAACTTCAACGATCGCAGCCGAATGCACTAGCCACTTGCGCTATCGGCCTCCTCTTATTTACCTTTAGTGTCAAATTATCATTTGTTGTCGCTGCCAGTGCCATGCCATCCCAAGTAGTAATAAAGGTAATTCAGATCTATCAGACATGCATGGCACCGACTCCAATAATATAGAATTTCTATATGTCGCGTATTATGAATATTGACATAGTGAAGAGTTGAGTTCAATTTATTTATTCATTGTAATTTTCGGTTTTGGTTTAAGATTTTTTTTTATTGGATAACAATTTATTCGCCAGATGAGTTCAAGGGAGACGGATCAAATTTGAATGGAGGGTGGTAGTGAGTCTCAGGCAGTATCCAAATTTTTATGAGTTGTAGTGCACTTAATTGTAAATCGTTTGACAAAAATATAGAATTATTTTTTATAATATAAAATTATATAATTTATTATTGAAAAGCAAATGGCAGTTTTATTCATCTTTTTTGTTGACAAAAAATCAAATATATTCTATTCAATAGGTAACTAAAGCAGTGATAATTCTTCTGTTAAACTTTTATTACATTTACAGTAATTTTGTGGATATTTTAGTTCAAGAAGAATCAACCATAAATTGGCATAAGAAGTTCACCACGATTTCATGAATATTATGCATGACTGGACTGATTGTCATTTGCCATAGTGATTGAGTTGACGTTATAAGCTGCCACATATAAATAATATGACGTTACTTATGACAGGATGGCCAGGAGCCTTACAAAGTTATCCAATTTTTAAACACAAATTAATAATAATCGGAGATATAGTATCTGTTCATGTTATAACATAAAACAAGCTTTGAGATGATATATGTTTCGTTGCTTCCGAAAACCGAACCACTTTTGAACCATTTTTGGTATTGGAGGGAAGTCTGGACTGTGACTAATTTCTGGTGCTTACAAAACTAAAATCTTTTCTCCCTGCTTGACCTTGTTTTTTCGTTATTTAAAGGATTTGGACTATGAACTGAGGCGGCAGACGCAGGAGTGTCCATCCGAGAACGGACTGGAGCCTGGCAGCGACTCTGAGTGGCCCCACGTCACTGACGCCCTGGATTCACCCCACACAGCACACAACCACACCAACTTCCTGGGACTCCAGGTTGGTACATTTACTTGACTTTTAAAATAATAATACATAATAACCCTTGTACGAGTACGTTTCAACGGTTATAATAGGGTATTTGACAAGTTTTAGAAAACGATCTCACGTTATTGACTAATGTTTATGGAGTCCGTAAAAAGTGGATATTCATCATTCTGTTGTGTGTTTCAGTAAAAATAACCAAATCAAAAACTCCATTTTCAAGTTGCCGCGAAAACGTTTTTCTGGACAATATGGCGTCTCACTGGTGTGTGACGTCACACGACTTTTAATAAAATGTCAAACGATACAATGTATTGTCACTTTATCCGGAAGTTTACTTGCGTGTGACGTCATTTTAAGCTCCGCCAATCCTAATCGTTTTGGGTCACGTGACAATAGATAAGAAAACTATTATATTTTTCGTTGGTTTTATGTAAAATTACGAATATTTTTTTTGACGTGACAACGTCTTAAATTAGGTTGCGGCTGGGAGTCACTTATGAAAAAGTGTAACGCTCGGTAACGTTACGATGAGTCTCTCGTGTTAAGTTTAAGTTTACATGTACAATGTTTTAGTAAACAAAATATATTTCTATAGTTAAAATTTGTGCAATTCTTATTTTCATTCAATTCCTTGTTCCTATTGTGCAATTTAATTATATTCATATCAATAAATATTCTACCGAGAAAAAGACGTTGTCACGTAAAATCTTCGCCCGTAAAACCGACTTTACAGGCAACCATTTTTTGTAAAAATAGTAAAAACCCCTGCCAATATTTATTCTAAACACAGATGCTAACAATTAGCACTTTATTTTTAACACTGTCAAATACCCTATTGCACTTAATTACTGTTTCTGTAAATGGTATAGAATAATAAAAACACCAGATGTTTTACGATGCATCGTAGTGCGACAGCTCGCTGAATTTTTGATCACTGGCGATAAACTGCTCGGTAGATAATTAACGCGCGCAAGTACATGGAGTGACGGAGGGCCTGCTTTGTGGGCAGGCTAATTGTTGGGAGTTTTTTTTTGAGTGTGTATGCTGCTGGTCGTTCGACCTTTACAGCGTCACCGGGTTTGGAGATGGCGAGATCCTATGGGGACCTCAAGCCGAGTATTAGCGAGTGACCCTAGCTAGAGGTTTTCCAGGCGGATGGCATCTCCCCACGGGGGGAGTCTTCTCTCCGTCTGGAGCCTCTAGACCGCTCCATCCTGAGGGTGTCAAACTGGAGGACGTCCCTGAGACTCGGACCTCGGCTCTAGTTAACCGTTGTCGTGGAGGGCTTGTTGGGAGTGTTGAAAATATTTATTTACTAGCTGTGCCCCCCGGTGTTAACCGTGGTTTATTATGGATGTTTTCCCACAGGAAAACTTAGCTTATGTGTTAATCCAGGGTGGTAGTCCAGCTAACTCCATACCAAATTTTATTAAAATCCCTCCAGTCGTTTAGACGTGAAGAAGTAACAAAGATACACACTCACAAACTTTCGCCTTTATAATATTAGTGTGATTTACAGTGTTTACTAATAACTATAGCATGCAAATAATTATAATCGAGGTTTCACGATGCAACGCAGTTCGCGCTTGCGACAGCTCACAGAATTTTTGATCACCGGCGATACGAGTATATACCGTTCGGTTGATAATTAACGCGCACAAGTACATGGAGTGGCGGAGCCCTGCTTTGTGGCTAGGCTAATTGTTGGGAGTTGGCATCTCCCCACGGGGGGAGTTTCCTCTCCGTCTGTAGCCTCTAGACCGCTCGATTCTCAGGGGGTCGGCTTGACTATAGGAAGTCTCCGAGACTCAGACCTCGGCTCTAGTTAGACGTTGTCGTGGAGGGCTTGTCGGGAGTGTTGAAAACTATTTTCTAATACAGTTGCTTAAAAAGTGGCGTATTGCAGGGACTTATAGCGTTCGGGATATGGGCTATTACATACTCGAGCTTTCCCAACTGTCATTATTTTGACAGTCTATTAAAAAGAAAACAGAAATCATAGAAGTTTTTATGATTCATGCAAATATTTCTAAAAAGAAGCTACTAATTTGTTTCAATATCAGATTTAATGATTTGATTCAATGAGTAAGGTTAGGTTTCATTTTATTTCATCTCATTAAAGTTCATATTCATATCAATAAAAAAAAATCTACTGAAGACTTGGCTCTATGGGCAACTATTCCCTTTGCCTACCCAGAATGGGTGAAGAAAACAAAAAAAAATCTCTGCTTATATTCTTATACGGTTCGTGCCGTTTTTCAAATATTTTTTTTATATACATAGCATTACATAGCTTCAATTTTTCACAACTGTATTAAAAATAGTTGTTCAGTACACGTGCACGTTTTCGGAACTCTCCGACATTTGTCGGAACTCTTTGCAATTCCTTTGCTTTCCGCACTCGTAATGAAATATACTATATTAATTATTTATATCCTTGGCAGCAACAGCGCCCCCTAGCGCGGTACCACGAGCCCAACGTATCGGAGTTGAGCGTGGGCGCGGCTTGGAGCGGCTCCGAGTCTCCGGCCGCGCCTCCTACCGCCACCGCCACCGCTACTGCGTTAGCCACCGCCACCGCCACCGCTCGCGGTGACCGCGACCGCTTACCCTTCGCGCTGTCATCCGACACCAGTGACACGGGCAGCGATCTCTCGCTCATGATCATGGAGAACGAGCTGCATGAAATGAAAGGTAACTATGGGTCTATTCCGTAATATATACCAGTATACTGGCCAGTGCTAATGACGTCATGAATCGACGAAATATTAAAAATAGTGCGAATAAAAAAGATTTTTTATTCTCCTCATCAATTAAAGGGAATTCTTTTTGTTCGGAACCCATTATTGTTCGTTAAATAAAAAAGAAATAAAATTCGAATGCATCTCATGCACGCTCGGTCATACGTCATATTCGTTTTCCCGGTAAAAATATGGTAACACACCAGTACAATATGTCGTCGGATTCGTGATGTCATTACCACTGGCCAGTACACTGATGTATGTTTCGGAATACACCTTTTAACATACATACAGTACCCTTAGTACGAGTTGAGCTCACGAAAACTATCATAGTTTACGTAAAGGTAAATTGTGTTTCTACATCCATTTTGGTGAAAACCAACCAAATACACTTAAAATTTAAGAAGACGCAAATGATTTAATGATAGAATTTAAACACTGTTTATTTGTATTGAAACGAAAACGATAGAATCAGTACCCTTAGTATGAGTGCGAGCTCAAGAAATCTATCTATAGTTTTCGTAATTGTAAAACTCGTACTAAGGGTACAGGTCGCGGCGCGTAACTCTAGCGCTGAACAAAACGCGGAGGGGATAGCTGCGTATGGGTACGACTGGAGAGCCAATCGGCGCAACGCACGCCCACCCGCGCACCTCGTTTCCCCCCAACACATCTTAATTTTTACTTCTGCGCAATAACGGTCAGCGCTAGAGTTTCGTGCCGCAACTTATACGTACGTACGTGCATCCATCCATATTCCATATTTATAATGTATAGTAAAGATATACTGCTGTTAAATTTACAAATACCAGTAGCACTGACGCTAAAAAAAATTAGTTTAAACCTTCTAATTAAACATTTCTATAATTGATTTTGGTTTTCGCTTCCGACTTGCAGCCTACAAGTGACAATTATTCTCCAAATCTTTTAAACTAGGTTCGTCCAAGTTTTGTTTTGATAAGTTGACAACTGCCCGGGATGCGTTCGCGTTGTCTGTGGTTCTGACAGGTGCGTTTCGTTTTTCCTGAACGCGAGATAGTCTTTGATATTTTTCCTTTTTTCTATGTTTGTTTGTTTGTTTTCTATTTGTCTATGTTTTCGAAGGTAGCTCGACAAAGTAAATAAAATCATAATTAAGAAGACACATCCTGAAAAGGATGCGAAACGTCAATAAATAAATAAATCATCTATACCGTTGAAACTTGTTTTATTTGACAATTATTCTTTTATTTTACAGCTAATTCTATTCAGATGGATAACACCCGAGTCGTGGTCACCCATCTGCCGGTGGTGGAGGACGGGTTGTCTTCCGGACACGCGTCAGATAACGACAATAAAAACCAGGTGAGGGGACCCATGAAAATTCTTTTACTATAAAAAAAAAATACAACTTCCGACGCTGGGTGTCGCCTACTCGAACGAATCCCGTAGGGGGCAGATGTTTGTGTGATGAATACGAGCATTTGACTACCTCCGTGACCGAGTGGTTTTTACATCAGGTTTCAAGGTGTTGTCGCCTACTCTAGAGGTCCCGGATTCGAATCCCGGTCGGGGCAGATGCTTGTGTGTTGAATACGAGCATTTGTCCTCCAATTATGGATGTTAATATGTATTTCCATATTAATATACTTATATATGTATCAGTTTATGTATATTGTTTTAAACTTTCATGGTCACTAACATTATAGCTATTAACGGGATTGTTACCATGTAACAGTGTTTACTTTGGGGCTAGGCTAATTGTGTGAGTGTGAGAAAATAATTAAATACAAATATTTTTAATTTATATTTAATTATTTTACTAAAACAATAACAATTGGTTACGACAAAATTACAATTAATGTTAGTTATCAGACGCGTTTCGCATTAAGCTACCAAGACCCAGACCCTATGAATAGTTAACAATTTCACAAGTAATTTCTTGTGCCGCAAGCAATGACCTATCTCTACTTTATTAGGTAACTATAAATTTAAATGAGCTCTTCATATTAAAAGTAAACAGCAACCATCCCTGGTTTCGTTTAGTTTAGCCTATGTCAATCAAGAATAATGAATCTTTGTTCGGACAAAAGAATTTTCGAAATTGCTTCAGTAATTCCACGGATTAATTCCTACAAACAACGTCATGATTTACCTCTATAAAATTAATATAGAATGAGATACTTCTAATTATACAATCAACGAAATGTCTTAGGGTGCCTTAATTGGAAGTGTAGTTGTCCAAAAGCGAATGACAAAGGTTTTAATACCCCAAGCACGAAGCAATATTGTTCTTTTTGGATTTTTCTAAACTTGTTTTTGTTTGCAGTGTCCTACAGATAAATTATTTCAATTTTAAGTAAATATGTTGTGGTTAATATAAGTGGTTAAGGGTAGTCATGCTCTCTTAAATGTCTCTTCGGTGGTGTCGTGTGAGGCGGGTCGTGACGTTCCCTAAAATATGGTTGAGCGAAGCGATGTCTGGTTCATGCGTCATGCTCGTGAACGGGTGCTGCCAGCGGAGATGAGTCTGCCCTAACTAACTACTTTGATATTTAAGATGTAAATGTCTAGTTACACGTAATATAAATACAGTGGAGCCCCGGTATTCCGGCCCCTGGCTAATGCGGCACCTCCTATAATCCGACATCGTCTATTACATACAAGTATTCGCTAATTCGCGATTGAACAAGTTACAACTTGTACGCACCATCACTATTGTGCTTGACGCGTAGGGTATTGTTTTTTATATTTTTTTGTAAAATCTATAGCATTAATGACGTTACTTTTATAATAAAACGTAATCTTTCTATTGTGTTGTTTAATTTACTAAATTTGACATACATAACAAAGTATGATTTGTAATCTTATCATTGGATCTGTAATTTGTCGGATTACAAGGTACTTTTTTGTAAAAAAAATCGGACTGTTAGGGTCCTAGGTACTACTTAGGCAGTACTCTATAATCCAACAAATTCGATAGTTCGACACTGCCCTGCAAAACTACCGGGGATCTACTGTAATACTATATGTATTTATACTGTATGACACAGCAACAAAATAAACAGCACACACAGTAAATGCAGTTGAATAAATAATGTATAATTTCACATTATGTAATGAAAGGTGACTTCATGAATCATCTCTAAAGTCATTGTTCAACTTGACGACTCTGTAAATTATAAAACAGGGAGGAAAAAAACTGCCCTTGCTGAGTTTCTTGCCGGTTCTTCTCAGTACATGGTTTCCCTTTGTAGATTAACGAACCGATGGCGTGATATCTAGACATTCGTGAGTGCTTTGTAACAGCCTATACTCAAGAAATTATTTTGATTATGACTTATATGATTATATCGAATCCGAATAGTTGTATTCGATCTCGACACACGTCAAATGTCAAGTTTTGCATGGAAATTTGAACAGCGCCACAGCGGACGTAACGAGAACTAAAAATGTTTCATACAAAACTTCTTGACATTTGCCGTGTATCGGGTTTCAGATCTAATTCAACTACAATTCTAATTCGGTATTGGTTCGTGCTAAGGGCACGGTTTTCGTCAGACATCTGATAGTTTTTTTATTGAAAAAATTAACAACAATTATATATTTTATTTTTTAAGCATTTAACTGATAGATGTTTTTTGTTGTAAACACGGTCATCAGGTTCGTAGTAGTATAATGGTCAGTGCATCAGTCCATTCGCCCGGATAGCGAAGCGTGCGGGTTCGAGTCCTGTCTGCAGCCAGATCCGCGTGAAATTTTATCTAGTAAAAATTTTCTTTATGAACAATTGTTATCAAAATATAGCAGTCAAATGCAATAATATAACCATTTATTGACTGTTAATAAAACTTTCACTATTTTTTGTTTAAAAGAATTGTATGATGTTGTTGTTTATTGCAGAATCATACGGTGATAATAGAAGAGATTATAGAGAACGGAACGAGCGCCGAGACTCATGCGCCGCTCTCGGACGCGGACCTACATTCGCTAGATCCTTTAGGTGAGAAAAATACAAAAGTTATTATACATTAAGGCTCGTATTACAGAATGACAACTAAGTGCTGATCTTTACTTGAGTACAGTTAGAACGGGATGTCGCTATGTGCTATATATAGCGACATCTCTTTCTGACTGTGCTCAAGACTAGATTAGTTACTGAGAATCTTTCTATAATACGGGCCTTGAACTCGTTTCGTTTTATTTTTTAATTTTTTAAGTATCTAACTGCACGATAATTAAATCTATTTTTTTAGAGACTATATATATGTTTATATTATATATGGTGAGTGGTGGTCAGTGGACGCCCGAATAGCGAAGGGTGCTGGTTCTAGTCCCGTCTGCTGCCTGGTCCGCGTGGAATTTTTTCTAGTAATATTATCTTTCGTTTCGCTAATTCAGAAAATTTCCAACTTTCCAACTATTATATCATTGAATCAAACATAAGATTGCGATTGTAGTAAATAGACATTTAAAAAACGAACTTTTGTTCGTGATCATACGAGAAACATTAGCCCTCTTGTTAATAAGCGAGGAATAAGCTTAGACTAATTATGCCGTGTTTTGTTCATATCACTGAAATGCCATTTTTAAATCAATGAATAAGGATGAAACGATACCATCTAGGTATCGATACTTTTACTTGATACTGTATCGGTCATAAAGTATCGATTCCTACTCGGTATCGAATGAAAAGTATCGATACTTACTTGTATCGATAAATTTTGACGAACGATATTACAAATTCAGTGATGTCAATTCTGGCATGATTCTCTAAACTTAAAACTAAATTTAAAATCAGGCTCTCCTTTTCATTATGTATAGAGAATGACAAAGATATACTGTTGTCAAATTTAAGTTTATGTTTAGATAATCATGTCAGAATCGACACCAGTCACAGTTTTAATTTAACGAAATAAAATAACGGCTTAATCGATGCCACGCGATGAACGTATAACTGACTGAATAAATTGGAATAAATATAAATCATACGCAAGGCTGCCAACTGAGCAGTAGAAAAGATGTGTGCGCGAAACAAAAAATCAACTAGTCACCTTACCGTACAGTAAATAATCTGCCTATGAGTTTTTTTATACTTCTCAGTGAGTGACCGACCGAGTACCGATGCAAGCACTTACCTCGCGATACTACTTGTTACTTAGTTCTAAAGTATCGATGCCAAAAGTACTTGGTATCTAAAGAAAAGTATCGAGTAGTTACTTGTATTTACTCGTATCGTTTCATCCCTATCAATGAACAGAGACAGAACATGGAGTAACAAATCCAACATTATTCTTCGTTTAGTGATAAGGGGGTTAGTGTATAATGCGATTCAAAAGTTACGACGGTTGTAGGTTAGCTTTGAACACAATTATGCGTGAATACCTTGCGCAGACCTTATTTTTTTCTGCTGCCATGGTTATATAGAATTACTGACCGTTCCCTTTCCAGAAAAAGAGTGCGATAAGGATTTTTAATGAATGTGAGCGACAGTTCAGGGAGGGTACTATAACGAAATGCATCGTTCTTGGGTGCTGCTGTCTAAGTAAATGACCGTACTACGTTTGCCTTGACGCGGTCTCCACTCCAGAACTCGTCTACCCCAACGGTTATCGGTTTTTCGGCAAATATGGCCAGCCCACTGCCACTTCAACTTGCTAAGTGGGCTATGTCGATAACTCTGGTTCTCTGTCGGATTACCTCATTTATGATGCGATCCTTCGGAGAAACCGTAGCGCGCTGAGCGACTTTGAACTTGTGGAGCAGCCTACCTATAATACTTGTCTTGTTTGGTTGCAGCCTGTGGTGAAGTGCCACCCCCTCCTCCCGCGCCGGCGCCGCACCGGCCCCCGGAGGCGCCGCATGCGCTCTCCCCCGCGTCCCATTCCCACCCCCACTCCCACACCCACTCGCACCCCCACTCGCCCGCGTTGCCGCACACGCCGCACCACCACCACTCGCCGCATTCGACGCACGCGCCTCATCATGACGACGTCTACCCTCCTAGGTATGTATGATACAATATTCGACGACCTCCGTGGCCGAGTGGTTTGTACGCCGGGTTTCATGGCTGTCGCCGACTCGAGAGGTCCCGGGTTCGAATCCCGGTGGGGGCAGATGTTTGTGTGATGAATACGAGCATTTGTACTCCAGTCATGGATGTTTAATATGTATTTATATAAATATACTTATATATGTACAGTATATGTATTCTATCCGTTACCCTAGCATCCCATAACACAAGCCTTATAGTGCTTACTTTGGGGCTAGGCTAATTGGTGTGAGTGTCGGAAATATTTATTTATTAATTTATTATTAATGTGCTATTTCACTATCCCAGTTAAGAAACTTCGTTTCGAATAGGGTGTAAATGGAAAAATCCTGTGGATAAGATGAAACGGAAGTGCGTCACGAGCGTAACACGACTGTGTGTGGGATGCGTGCGCAGCTTTTCCCGAACGTTGGAGTCACAAGCGTCATATGGGACAATACTATGTATTATTATTTAGTATATATGTAAAAATAAGATTACTATATGAGTCGAGTTTATGAGTTGATTTTAAACTCTTTCTACGCTTTAGTTCTTGTTCTGGGAACTGAACAGAAACTGCTGAGAGTTGCACTCGCTGCTAACTTCACATCTGGCTCAAAGTTCTTATCGCACTAAACGTAAATTTTGTATCATCACCATCCCAGTTGTTGAGAAAATTATGGATACACAATTGTCATTGGACATGGATTAAGAGTTGCTATCTAACTGTCAAATAAACCTGGGAAAATAAATGGGACATAGACTAAACGATCATGCGGTCATTGATCGTATATGTATTGGCTGCACCATCGTTTACTCACTTTCTAGGGAAAATAATGTTGGCAACACTATAGCTGTGTTTTGAAATAGGTTACCATGTGGCGTTTAGAAATAAGGTCTACCTTGACACGACAGGATAATTTATTAATTACCCATTTTTAGACTAATTACCAAGTTACTGCAACAGGATTATACTTATTAAAATCATTATATTTATTTTCCTAAATAGTTGTTTCCATTATATTGTCTCTTGATCAAAAATCATCATTACAAGTTTCATTTTGTAACGACACCTGACTAAAGCGAATGATAGATAGTTCCACTGTAAAAATATGAAAATCCAAATCAAATAAAAAATGGTCACGTCGATTGTAAAATTATGTAAAATGATTTTTAAAACTATTATAGTTATTAAGTATTTCTATAAAAAATATATTTACGTTTTGCTAACAACTCTTTTATTGCAGAAAAAGGCCATCTTCTGCGCAAAGCACCGAATCAGTGGAAATCAAACCAACTAGTGGCGATGAAGGTAATAATTTTTTTTTCTGTAGTTATGGACATTAGAGTCTAGTTAATGATTTCTTTCACAGCAGTGCTAATCTATAAGAACCAACTCACTTTTTACTCTATAAATCACACCGCGGATTCTTTAAATCACACCGCGGATTCTTTAAATCACATCGCGGATTCTTTAAATCACACCGCGGATTCCTTAAATCACACCGCGGATTCTGAGGGGGAAAGTGAGTTTTTTGAAGTTATACTTCTTTAGGCGCGTTATGAAAAAATGATGAGAGTGAAATTTTAAGATGCGCGCGCATCACTGTAACACAAAATTAACAGCATGAAGTTGATCCAACCACCACATCTTTATTTTTTGTAATAAAGTAACAGTTATAGGTATTCATATTTATAATATTTATCCACATGTTTCTAGTTTGTATATTCGGAATACGTGTTTGAGTTTCATACAAGTGCAAATCACATATGTTCTAATAAATTATATTCAGTAGCGATTTTAATTGAATATTTTGATTATTTATTTATTTTTTCAAATTAAAACTGAACTTTATTGACTGTGTCCTTTTCCAGACTTTTTATTAATTTATTGTAATTAATTATTTGCATGCAATTAAAAACTAATTTTAAACAATGCCAAAGAAGGATAACTTCTCACGCGCCTACATAAGTACACGCACCCATTTTTTTTCTTACAGTATAGCACTGCAAATAAACTTACCTTTATTTATTTATCTCTTTCTAGATGAAGCTGATACAGATCTCGAGACTGATAGACTACTGGGCCAGCAAAGAACTGATGACCAAGGCTTTTTCGATGACAAAGTAAGTCGAAGCCAATTCTTTATTGTAAAGAAAATTGGATATTGTTATTTAAAGTCACTGGCTGTCCAACTCTATTTTTATAGCGACGAAAGTATCAACAATTAACCAAACATTAAAGTTTATTAATAGCTTTCAGAGTACTTTTATTATATTTATAGTTTCATCATTAAATTGTATTTTTTTTATATTGAAAGAAATAATAAAAATATTTAGAGAAAGAAATGTATGAGTGTAGTTAAAGAACACAAAGTCAGTACCGTACAGTTTTATATACGACGTCACGTAAAAATTCAATTAATCTGCATGAACACTGGATGCCCTTGACATGATCATAGCAGTGGAAATGTTACGTCACTGACCTTTGCCGTGGGAGGTTTTAGTTTATTTTTAGTAACATAAAAATAATAATGTCAAAGTAAATACTTATTTACGCATTAATCGCTATAAGATTTAATGCACATTTTAGGAAAATTATTTATTTATTGAAACTTTACTGCCACAATTACAAAATGGACAAAAGACGGACTTAACGCTAAAAGCATTCTCTGCCAGTCAACCTTTAGGAGTAAGAAATACACGAATGCGGCTTTAGTAAAGAAGTAATTAACTAATATAAACATACCATAATAGAAAGTACTTATTTTATACATAATAACTAAATATACATGAGCACAAGACATATAAATATATACACACGCATACATACAATAATATATTATCTAAGCAAACAACTAATATGTAGGTAAGTCGAAAAAAATATAATAAAAACCAATTTTATTCTTCTTAAAAATTAAGTGTGATAAAACAGCAACAACAACAAACAAAAAGTTTCATCTAAGATTTAAACATCAATCAGTTACATGCTTTAAAATAATAAAAATTATGAAAAGTTTCATATTTAATATTAGCCAATACAAAGTACAAAGGTCGAAACAACAAAATAAACAGGTTATCGTTCATTCGATTTAACAGAAATTAACACAGCAATTTCTTAATTGATCGCTTTGTCGGTTTGAGTCACCGGATCGTGATGCAATCGGTAGCTGCGCGTGCGCGCTATAAACTGTTCAGTACTGCCTGGCGAGTTCACACATGTGCGTCGTGACCTTGCTCTCCTATTGCGATTGAGCAAAGATTATGTACATGCGTTATAAAACAATTCTGCCTACAGTGCGTAGACTTATAGTGATCGTAATAATAAAAAAAATGAGTGAAAAGTTTTAATAAATAGGTAATTTAAAAACAAGTTTTATTTATGTGGTAAGGATCTAATTAGAAATTAATGTAACATTATTACAATGTTAAGTTCTTAATATGGGAAATGAGTATAAATTCTTAAATAACTTTAGTAAGTAAAAAAATCAGATAAAAACCTTAACAAGAAGTTTATTTGTTACAGAGATTTTAATATTATCATTTGTAAGACTTGGCCTTTCTGCACGCGTATTTTGTTATTTCTTTGACGCTTGTGCTGTTTACATTATCTGAGACGTCGATGTGGCTGGCGAGTTCAGTATTAAGTGCGGTCACTACACAAAGCGTTGTGTATTAAACCTCTTATCACAATCGTATGGGTATTGACAGGTGGTGATAACAATCCGCCGCGTCGATAATGTCTTTACAGTGTTAACGGCCAGTTAAATGTTTGTGCTACTTGCAAAATGTGCGAAGAAGAACGCTTGCCGTGTCTAGATAGCAAACAAAGTGAAAGTGAAAGTAAAGAAAACGTTGTCGAGACGCAAGTGCATAATGTTGAGCAAACAGTTGAGGATGAAAGTGTTAGTGTTGACTGCAGTGGTGATAGTGGCGAAGTGAAATTGGAGTGTACCGATTCTAGTGACAAAACATCTGTTGACGTTGAGATTGGGGATTACCAGGAAAATGAGAAGGAGAAAAGAAAAAAGGTTGGCAACAGAACGCAGATTTTTTTTCTGAAATGACACGTGCTTTTTTTATTAGTGTTTTATTTAGACTTAGGATATTTATTTTGTGGTGATCCTGGCCCATTTGTACAAAGTTACAAAATTTGTTTAGTTAGCGGTCGAATTTCCTACAATGAGTTTGTAGACAACTGAGTATCAACGTTACGTCTTAGTGCCAGAATACCAGCGCTGTTACGGTGGGAATATTCCCGTCCCATTGTAACAGCATTAAGCTGAAGCAGGGTCCTAATTGGCCTTTCTTCTTTCTGCATATTGTTGTCTGTTTGTTTTTATTTTTATCGGTATATAATTTCTTATTTTTACATACTTGTGTTTTAAGACCAATAAATGATTTTTCTTTCTTTCTTCTGTAGTGTATTGATGTGTTAGGCATTTTTGCAGCAGTGCCATTTAGCATTTTAAGTAGGCACTGTGCTCATAAAGAGATGTCACATTTTTTTCAGTTTAAGTAAGTCTTGTCTATTTAGAATTTTAGACTTTCAAAATAATACGACAGCACGTGACAGCTTATCGAAGCTTTAAATTTAATCAATATTTTTAAGTCCCGCCGGTAATAATTCGGCGGTTACCAATTGGTTCACCTATAAAATATTATCAATGTTGCATATTAATAAAATCGAGATTTCGAAAAACTAATATTAAACATAAAAAAAAAAGTAGATTTATTAATAATGAAAATAATATATGATTTTTTATTTAAAAAAAATGTAAAGTATACACACGTAATACTAGATATACAAATAAATTACCCTGCTAACTAGGCTCTTCTAATCTTCTTATAATTTTTGTAGTTATAGGATAGGTAATGTGCGAGTAATAAGTCGCCTGCGGTGTATATAACGGCCGCCAAATATGCCCCTGAGGGCAGGGATCTTTCCTACGTAGGGGTAACCGTTTACTTAAAAACGTACATCATCAACGGCCTTCCCTATGAACGGAGTAGGGAGATTGAGCTATGACCCACCACGCGGGCCCAGTGCGGATTGGCGGGTGCTAACGACTGCAGCAACAGCCGGGACCAACGGCTTAACGTGCCTTCCGAAGCACGGAGGAACTCGAGATAGAAGTTTTTTTTGGTAACCCATCCAATGACTGACCATTGCGAAAGTTGCTTAACTTCAACGATCGTATCCGAACGCGCTAACCACCCGCGCCATCGAGCTCCTCTACAAACCTACATCGAAAATGGAACAGCCCTTCTTAAATTATTTTTAAATAGTATGAAACACGAATTCTAGGGTGGGCTGCTCCCCCCCGTTACTACCGGGCCATGGCTCTTTTGGCCATAGGTGAATACGACGCTTACCACAGGAATGGCTTGGTAATTTAAAATTATTTTAATTTGAAATGGCCACAAGTTACTTGGAATTTGAGATATTTTCGCAATTGCCGTTTAAAGGGAATGGATAACGAAAATACAACTACTACCGTCACCATCTCCTCTGTCCTTTGGAAGGCGAGTTAAGCCGTTGGTCCCCGCTGCATTTGGATTGGGTCCTCATAATCTTTACCCGCGTATCTTTTTTATGAGGAGCTTGATGGCGCAGGTGGTTAGCGCGATCGTTGAAGTTAAGTGACTTTCGCAGTGGTCGGTCATTGGACGGGTGACCAAAAATCTTCTATCTCGAGTTCCTTCGTGCTTCGGAACGCACGTTAAGCAATTGGTCCCGGCTGCATCTGCAGTCGTTAGCACCCGCCAATCCGCACCGGGCCTGCGTGGTGGGTCATGGCCCAATTTCCCTATTCCATCCATAGGGAAGGCCTGTTTCCCAACAGTGGGGACATTAATAGGCTAATGATGATGATGAATCTTTACCCAGCTGTCAAACATATTCGAATGCATTTCTGCCCTTTGGACGCACGACCTAGCTTTCTCTCTTTTTAGAGCAGGGCCCATTCCTCCCAAACTTTGTCCCTATCCTGCCAATATTTACTATCAGAATCTAGGGCAGGCCAAGTTTCTGCAGCTTTAGGCAGTACTTTTTGGTGAGAACCTTTGATTTTTGTTTGATGGCCCGCAGGTCGTAGGTTGCCGATCTTTGTTCTAGAAAATAATTCATTTCATGCATGTATCGCTCAGTCCATTCTCTATGTGTATGGTTTATGATTATGACCCATAACGCGGAACCGATATAGATGCAACATGGTGCATTCTTTCTTTTCCATCCGTAGGGAAGGTCTGCGCCCTAGTAGTGAGTATATTATGAGGCTGATGATTATTATGATGATAGTTATCCATTTTAAATGTATGAAATTGTATCCTTAGCACAAACTCATATCGAATTCGAATTGTCAATTCGATCTCGCTACGCGTCAAACGTCAAGAAGTTTCGATGAAAATAATGAATTGCCACAACGGTCGGTACGAGAATTAAAAATATTCCATACAAAACTTTTTTTGACATTTGACGCGTATCGAGATCGAATTCGATATTGGTTCGTGCTAATGGTACTGATACGCTTCTGTCGCATCACGACACACCAGTTTATTGAAGTGAAACTTCTTTAGGCACACTTGACTTGGGGGGTAAAGTGGCGAATGCGTTACGCGTTACGGAAAGTGTGTTCGGGCGAGGCGAACGGGGGTTGAGTGGGGGATATAAGCAAGAGAAAGCAGTACGCGCGCGCATTTTCTTTCTCTTTTTCTCCTATAGCTAGTAAATGAGATACTTATATGTACATACAGATGGAGCTAAAGAAGTTTCACTTCAGTCGTGTGGTCATAAGCACACTCGTTTTTTCTGTATTTAGTCTAATCTCTCCTCCAATGTAATCTGCTTTGAATAGACGATGGGTTCTCGTAGTTGATAGTGTCAATCGGTTTGGTGTAGGGATGGCGCAAGCCGAAGTCGCGCACGGTGATGCCGGCGGGTGGGACGGCGGCCGGCCGATCACCGCCGCACTCGCACGACGCGCCCGACGCCCGGCCCGACGACGCGATGCACAACGGGAAGGTAAAACATGCCAGATCAGTGTTGCCAGGTCTCCAGATTTTACAGGAGATCTCCTGTTTTTCTGAAATTTCTCCTGTTCTACTGTTTTTCTACATGAATCTCCTGTTTTTCTTAGAATACGACTCTCTTTTTTAAATTGCATGTTGAGTTGCATATTCGGCTATTAATAATGTAGGTAACCTTATTAATTTTATAATAAATGTTACTGTCTAAAAAAATCTAGCTTTAAAGGGCGGCAGAAGCCACTGAAACACATTCGTTACTGGTCTTTATCTTGATTTGATTTACTAATTCTACATACTTAAAAAATAAAAAAATATAATTTCATACATTTTTCTAGGGCATTTGTTGAAGCATGGAATTCATGCTTCAACAAATGCTTCATATAGTTCGTTTTGACTGGTGTTACGTTTGTTTGAGACTTTATTTTTAACAATATACCATATATTTTCTATCGGGTTTAATCCGGACTGTTTGCTGGCCAGTCTTAAACGGATATACGCTGTTCACTAAGGAAACATTTGACGCTATTGGCCGTGTGCTTAGGGTCATTACTATGCTGAAATATCCGGGTTACAGGCATATAATCGTCCGAGTAGGGAATCATTGTGTGCTCCAAGATATTTTTGTATTGCCATTAATCCATTGTACCTGTAATCTTCCGAACGGGTCCAATTCAACATCTGAAAAAACACCCCTAAACTTTAATGTTACCTCCACCGTGTTTCATACTCTTTTCATCTGAAAAAAAAAACACTTTCTTTCCGTTCTCGTACCGTCCAATTAACATATTTTTTAGCCAATAATAATCGCTACTCTCGTTGTTGCTTTGTAAGAAGCGGTACCTTTCTAGCGATTCTTCCAAAGAATTTAGCTTCCACTAATCTTCAGCGTATCAGTCTTGATGAGATGTTTCTCAGGTCATCAAGCGAAAAATATTCATTTTGAATCTGGTTGGAGCCTTTACTTGGGGTTTTTTTAGCAACACGAACGATTAGCGTATTTTCAACAGTTCCATGTGTCATGAAGGTGTCATGTGTTTTATAATGATCAGTTACATTAATAACTTTTTTAACAGAACCATTTAAATGCTCAGCTATTTTTCTGTACGCCCACTTATAATCTATATGTAAATTAACAATTATTTGCCTAGTTGATGCGTCACAACTTTTATTTTTGCCCTTTTGAACAAAATAAAATTCTGATTAAGTAAATTTTGAATTGCCGCCAAAATAATATAAAAGTCCAAGAATAAAATGTTATTCTCCAATTTCAAAAAAAGAAGGAGCTACGGATGCTTTTTTAAAATGTTGTTTTTAAAATAAATGTATTTTGTTTCGCATTTGATACTATGTTATTTACGAAACAATTTTATTACGACGACATTGATGATTAATTTCGAAATTTTGTTTTTTCAGGACAAGGATGGGAAAAAGAAAAGTAAAAACAAAGAAGGTAATTATTATTATACTAACATTAACTTCCTATCTCTCTAATTGTCTTAAGTTATTTAGCCACTAAAATTGCAGATCTAACCTAATTGACGTGCTAACATACAAATATCCATAAACCTTTTTTTTCTAACGGACACATCAATGTAACAAAGGATTATGTATGTATTGAGGATTATGTATGCGTTTACAAATTTCGATACTTGTTCTTGCTAAACTAATAATGAAACATTAAATTACCTATTAAAAACTGTGTTATTAAAATTGATAAATTATTTTACGCTGCCCTTGGACTTGTGCCTTGCTGGTAAGTGTAATTTCATAACATCTTTTTTATATTTGTGTAAAATCGAAAATGTTGATAATTTGCTATAATGGCTTCATTTTGTTGGATCTTGATCAATGAAAAAAATAAACTTTTGTATCGCGTTTAGAATTCATCGTTGAAACATCGGAAAAAGTAAACCAACATTGAATAAGATCTGCTTTAAAAGAAATATTTTACTTATATACTACAATATATTGACTTAATTATCATTAAGTACATTGTTATTATTTGGACATTACACCCGCGTAGTTCACATGAGTATTAAAAGTTAAGAAATTTTTTAATCTCCTTTTAACTAAGTTAAAATCACCATTATTTTATATACTTACTTAAATATTGGTGTGGATTAACTAAATTTAACATCAGTCTCTCCTTTTCATTTTGTATAGAGAACGACAAGGATGCACTGTTATCAAATTTAAGTTTAGCTTTAGAGAATCATGCCAGAATCGACATCACTACGTGGTTTAATTTAACGGGAACCAATTGGTTTCCCATACAAACCTTTTCACCCTCGTAAAGAATGATTTCTGGCATACAAACTATTTTTCCTTTCCCGGGGCTAAAACTGTCTCTATACCAAAATTCATTTCCATCGGTCAGCGGTATAACCATGAAGAGGTAATAGACAGACTTAATTTGACACTTTTCGACTCGGTCCCCGTTAACGTTAATTTTTTGAAAATCCCTCAGGAACCTAACACTTTTCTAGTACAAAAAGTAGGTAGCCTTTATCTCACTCCAGGTCATAAATTATAGGCGAACCAAATTTCATCCAAATCCGTTTATTAACGCACACAAAACTTTTACATTTATAATATTAGTGTCGATTTTGCGATTCTCTAAAGTTAATACTAAATTTAACATCAGTCTCTCCTTTTCGTTCTCTACAGAGAGTGACAAGGCTACACTGTTGTCAAAGTTAACTATTAGTAATTTAAAATGTAGATGAAAAACGAGTGGTATAGCATGAGCATCATTCATCAGGGTTGGCTGCGTCAGTGCTGATAGAAGGCGTCCTATTCCGCGCTCGCTACTTGGGCTCCACGCAGCTGGCCTGCGAGGGGCAGCCCACTAAAGCCACGCGGATGCTGCAAGCTGAAGAAGCCGTGTCCAGGATCAAGGTGAGTTCTGGTAGAGGGCATTACTGGAAACGGGAAAGGGTTACCAAAAACAATGAAATAATAAGTTGAAAGTCTAAAGAAGTTCTAACAAGCGTCAGAGCTTAGGGTGCGGCCAGAGTGCACTCAGATTCAGATTCAGGTTCTGAAAACAAGCGCGAGAAATAAACAGTGTAGTCTAAGCAGGTTGCATGCTTTTTCTCGCGCTTTGTTTTCTGAGTCTGAATCTGAATCTGAATCTGAAGTGCACTCTGGCCGTACCCTTCGACTACACTGTTTATTTCTCGCGCTTGTTTTCGGAATCTGAATCTGAATCTGAATCTGAGTGCACTCTGGCCGCACCCTAACACAGGCGTCGACCTTATTGACAACGATCGTACGATTACACGCTGCGTCCTCGTCGTGTGATGATTTTCAAACATGTAGATTTCTTCAGAGGTGTCCTAATACAGCTCGTAAACCGTCGCACGAGAACAGGCACATTATTTTCATCGCGAGATGAAGTCGCATCGCGCCGTCGCACAATCGATGCGTTGCCAATTAGGATTTGCCATACGCTCGTCTAATAAGCGTGCAATAAAAAAGATGAAATGGTAAATTAAAATTCTAAAGGGAGATGTTACAAAAAGCGGCTCGAGTTTACATAAGTGATGCTATTAATACGAATTGTAAATAACGATTCAAAGTTAACATCGGCTGTGAAGTTGCTGCATGTCGCGGCGTAGCAAACTAAATGTACGATAATGTAACTGACCGACTGTGAAGGTAATAAATAGTTAACACTCGCTGCTAACTTCACAAGATAATAGTTCGCAATCGTTGCTAACTTCACAGTAACATAAAGTTTGGATGGCCCCTTTTTCTAAAGGTATTTCTGTTAGCGGACCGTGTTCATAGCGTCACATTCGCTTCTTATACCCAGCCCTTAAGAATAATTTGAAAGCAAGGTGAAATTTTTGCCATACGACTAAAACTAAAGGATACTCCAAGTTACACTGTGTCGGGGCCAGGGGAGGCCACAACTAAATATCTAAAGTACCTATATTTATCTATTTAGTAAATCATCTTTAGCGTTTTGTGTAGAAATGTCAATTGGGTGATATTGTAAAATTTACTCTCATAAAATTGAACAACAGTTTTGAAAAGACTTTAATAAATTCCCTGCCTTATTTAAATTTTCACCATACTGTATACAAGTCAAGATATAATATCTTGTTTACCAGAGAAAAATGCATTATTTGCTCAAATTGGGATACTAGCAACATTAACATACTTAACACCGTAATAGAAATCAATATCTTATTACAGACTAAGAAAAGGACCATGAGTATAGATATCACGATCGTGTCTTAAAAAATAGGAAGATGATTTACATGAGAGGTACTACAGGTCGCGGCACGTAACTGTCTAGCGCTGAACAAAACGCGGAGGGGATAGTTGCGTATGGGTACGACTGGAGAGCCAATCGGCGCAACGCACGCCCACCCGCGCACCTCGTTCCCCCCCAAGACATCTTAATTTTTACTCCTGCGCTATAACAGACAGCGCTAGAGTTTCTTGTCGCGACTTCACTTAATGAGATACAAATGTCAGGTGTTTTATGTCCTTAGACATAAATCACAATAATGTTGAAGGCACGTCAATATTTCGAAGACTCGAATGTTTTCCCAGCCCAGTATCGACACGGTGTAACGTGATTAATCCTATTATTGTTTTTTTTTCTTTCGTCATTACATACAGTCTCACTAAAGTCAAAGAAAAATCACAGTAATAGTATACAGTATAACTTTCTTGCGAAAAACAGCATGATTCTCGCATTGTCCGACTTTTTGAATAAGTTATTAGTAATTAGATTTTGTTATGTGGTACAAGTGTTAGGTACACAGCGATGAATATCAAATAAGTCAAAAAATTCTAATAAAAAGTTTCATATCAAAATGCTTTTGTAACAATTTGCACAGGTATAATTCTGAAACACCAAAATATAATTCTACACGAAGAAATTTCTTACGCATTCTCATTATATAACTGAAAAAAGGCAAACAACCATTTGCCCGTGTGAATCGGTTAAATGCAAAACAGTGTTGTTAAATGTAGCTATGTTTCTGAAAGGAGCATGAAATTACTTGTCTCTTCTTCTTCTTCCTCCTCACATCCTTTTATCTATGGCACTGGCTGGTCTATGGTCTTGGCCTTCGCTCTGTACGTTTTAAGCGTTAAAATGAGATTAAGTTAATATTATAATAACTTTTTTATTAAACTAATATCAAATCTAATTCCCTATTTCAATTACTGTAATAAATCTTTAGCCATATACTAGTGTTATAATTGTTTTCAATTCTTTGCACGCTAAGTTTTCTATCAAACACGTTCATCTGTATGTAATTTCATGCTCATTAAGATTAGTGTATTGAGAATGCTAGTGGGATATCCTATTTATCCTTATAATTCCTATTGTATCCGTGTTATCTCAAAACGAATTTAACCAAGTAAGCTAGTTCTAGATTTTAAAACACGTGCAAGTTCTGTGGAATGTATTGGAGAGAAAAAAACGATTCCCTCTTGTGACGTAAACCACTCTTGCTGCGAGCCTATTAAGACAAAATTTCGGTAGACCGAACACCGTGGCCGCAGGTACTTGTACCGCCAAAGAGATTTTGCTCTTATTGACTTGGCACTAGAGTATTTTTTTCAGTGTGATCCTCACCCCTCGACCCGACCCAGGAAGATTGTCGGATCCCGTATTGGCCGGCTAGCCTCCTCTGGATTGTCTCTTCTTTCGCTTTATGTTACGCTTGATGCTATGCTTTAACCATTATGTTGTCCGATCCTTCTTTATAGGTTCAAAGGTAAGGCCATTATTCTTTATTGCCAAATATTAAGCATGTTGAGTTTGCGATGAGTAATTTTGGCCGATATTATCAATAAAATAGAGTTTGAGTGCTTCTAGCGTTTTACCCTTAACAATAATAGTAACAATAAAATTATAAAGCATATAAAATTCTGATTATGTATAGTTTAAAAAGTGTGTTTGCGAATAACGTTTTTCAGGTAACGTTATGCTTAAAAAACTTATTTTTTATTTTATAGATTTTCTGAATTTTTGTGTAAGCCATCATTTTATAACCTTTATTGAAATCAGCTGCACTCAAATTCAGAATATATTTAAAAGGCTTTGACAATAAAAAGGTAAGGTTTTATTTATTAGCCTTTAGCTTATAAATAAATAAATAAATCAGTTTTCGTAAACACTGACTTACAAGTTATCAGTCATAATATTATAGCATCTTGATTTATAGTTCCCATGCACTATTTCATGTTTGCACCATGTAGCATCGTCAACATAACCCGATTCACACCGGCTAAGAGGTGGCCTATCACATCTATTGAGGGTACGCTTAACGCTAAACTGGAATCAGACCCTATGCTAATAAGATTAAGGTTGATATTTCGTTAGGTCTGCTTTCATACTAACGGGAAAGGATTCGCCCGCTCGCTTCTCACATACCTACCATTGTCAAGTATGTTGCAAAGTTTTGTTTGCTAGCTTTTGCTCTCAAAATCAAGGGTATTGAGAATTTTGTACCAATAAAATCAAGAGTCGATTCATTTGTATGGCGTTCGCTGCTTATTGCTTCATTTCGTTTGATATAAAATAACGCTTTTTTTAAAGTTAGTTTTAGGGCGAGCTCTTTGCGTGAAGTAAAATTTATATTCCGATTACAAATATTCAATGATAGCTGTATAATGTACCTTATTACAATAATGGGATCATACAATCATGATATCACACAATTCGCGATCTTCGTGGCCGAGTGTTTTGTACGCCGGCTTTCAAGGTGCCTGTCAAGATGTTTCTGTGATGAATACGAGCATTTGTACTCCATTCATGGAAGTTTAATGTCTATTTCTATATAAATTTACTTAATGTACAGTATATATATGTCTCTGCGTTACTCTAGTATCCCATAACATAAGCCTACAGTGCTTACTTTGAGGCTAGGGTAATTGGTATGATTGTTAGAAATATTTATATTTATTTTATTCTATTCACCTTAAATATTTACCAAATTTTAATTATGAGTTAATAGTATCGATTTCATTATTTTGAATATTGTAAGCATATTAAACTCATTAAGAAATGAGAAGAAATAAAAAAACATGTCACATATTCACATTTATAATATACATTAAGTGAGCCAGAAAGCTATCACATTTAAGTAGATAAAAAAACATCGTGATAAAGCAGCCCACGCAAACAAAAGTATGCGTTCACAAAAATCAGGTAGGAACAATTAAAAACAAATAACCCAGTTGTTAGCTTAATTATAGGAGAAAGTACATATTCCTCGTGCTAATACAAAACAAAGAAGAAAAAGAAAAAAAAATGACGCTGAAAAAGCTCGTTGCTTAAGCAAAAGCATTAACATAGATAATAGAAAACTGTGAAGTAAACTGGGCAAATGGTTCATTGCCATGGTTTTAGTTTTTTTTTATAGAGACAGTTGCTAATTGCGTACCAATGCTTCTTAAACCCTCTCAGTTCCTCAATGTCTGTGAGCTAAAGCTAGAATGGTATGTGTGACTAAACTGTCATTAAAATCAAGTCAGCAATAAGCAGTGCAGTTGCCATTAGAAAAATCAGTAGAATAAAAAAAATATCTTGCATAATAAGCTCGTTACGCAAACATCCAAACTTCACTAAAGTAAACTAAAACTAAAGCAGCGTGCTAAGAGCAGAAGCTAGGGCATGCAAAGAAAAGAGCTCGTTACAAAAACCGCCAAACATTATCGGCAAAGTTAACTAAAGCAGCGTGCTTAGAGCAAAAGCTAGTGCATGCAGAGAAAAAAGCTCGCTACAAAAACCGCCAAACGTTATCAGTACAGTCAACTAAAGTAGCGTGCTTAGAGCAAAAGCTAGGGCATGCAGAGAAAAGAGCTCGTTACAAAAACCGCCAAACAATATCAGTAAAGTCCAATTAAAGCAGCGTGCTTAGAGCAAAAGCTAGGGTATTCATAGAAAAAAGCTCGTTCCAAAAACCGCTAAACAATATCAGTAAAGTCAACTAAAGCGGCGTGCTTAGAGAAAAGCTAGGGTATGCAGAGAAAAGAGCTCGTTACAAAAACCGCCAAACATTATCAGTAGAGTCAAATAAAGCAGCGTGCTTAGAGCAAAAGCTAGGGCATGCATAGAAAAGAGCTGGTTACAAAAAACCGCCTAACTTTATCAGTAGAGTCAAATAAAGCAGCGTGCTTAGAGCAAAAGCTAGGGCTGCAGGGAAAAAAGCTCGTTACAAAAACCGCTAAACATTATTAGTAAAGTCAACTAAAGCAGCGTGCTTAGAGCAAAAGCTAGGGCTGCAGGGAAAAAAGCTCGTTTCAAAAGCCGCCAAACATTATCAGTAGAGTAAAATAAAGCAACGTGCTTAGAGCAAAAGCTAGGGTATTCATAGAAAAGAGCTCGTTACAAAAACCGCCAAACATTATCAGCAGAGCAAATGCTAGGGCTGCAGGGAAAAAAGCTCGTTACAAAAACCGCCAAACATTATCAGTAAAGTCCAACTAAAGCATCGTGCTTAGAGCAAAAGCTAGGGCGGTATGTGAGAATGCGCGGGCGATAGTCGCACGAATCGGAGGAGGTTAGCCGGTGTGTGTGGCAGTGGGGCTGCGAGGGGCCGTACTCGGGCGTGTACGCGGCGCCGGCGGCGGTGTTCCGGCTCTCCTTCCTGGGCTCGGTCGAGGTGGACGAGGACTCGCGCAGGCGCAAGAGGCGCCCCAAAAAGAACATGGTCGAGGAGGCCGTCACTAAGATCAAGGTGACGCGAGAGCGTTCTTCTGTTTTTAGTTTTGTTCTTTCGAAACGGCTATCGTTAATGCCACGCAAGGTTGTTTTTAAATAACTGTCTTTATTTGAAATACACGGATAGGGAACTATAACTTTGATTATGGCAGCCATCAGGGCCGGATTTAGAGGTATGTGGCCCTGCTCCCCTAGCATGCTGCATGAGCACCGCGATACGATATATAACGCGTTTTATGACGCTCGTCAAATTACAATGGAGTTTGACAGTTAGACGTGATAAAAATGTGATATAATGTAAATTGTGGTGCTCATGCTACGGGGACTGGGGCACTTACGATATATGTATACGCCTCCCCCCTTGGTTTTTGACTTCTGTGACACTGCCTTGATCCGGCCCTGGCAGCAGCACACATAGCGATATATTTGCTCGGTTTAGTATACATTAGCACATGTTGGAAGAATTGTTCACCAAATTTCTTCTAATACACGTTAATCGATAAACTTGAGCAAGTAGGTACAATGTTACCTAGTTTATTTTGAGTTGATAGCTACTCAGATTTATACCTAGTTCAGTACCAATGTTTAGTAGTTTTAAAAAACCACGATCCTCTTCTTATATGTGACAATGGCGGTGCAGTTTCCACTACACTTGCTGCTGTGAAATGTAAGGAGACAAGTCGTACTCACTCATTCCTAATATTAATTTTACATCCACATTGTACTGAAAGGATTATGTACAGAATTATTAATATATTGTAACATATTTTTCCTTATTCGCTTACTGGAACATCAGGCTTTGGTAAGTGCATTCTATTCACTATTCTTGTTTTATTACCTTAATTTTAAACGCAGTTAATATGCCCGGGTATTGATGACGGAACTTCGATAATTCTTCCTAACCACTAAAATTACCCAAAAAATATGACTTCAGTAAAAGAAGATTGTAGTTGGTGTTAATTTTGCTCTTTGGAACTCTGTATTTCGAGCCAATGTTGATAGCTGTACGTTTGCAATTAGATTGTAGCTCTTATTGCTGCCCAATAAAGTCCTGTCTATTCCCTAGCAGCCCAGTTCACCAAACCAAAGTTGTTGTCAAAAAAATATACGAAATCAACTCTACATTATTTTTTCCCCATAAGGCGCCGGAAGGTGAGAACCAGCCCAGCACAGAAGTAGACCTGTTCATCTCCACCGAAAAGATCATGGTACTGAACACAGAACTAAAGGAGATCATGATGGACCACGCTCTGAGGACTATATCTTACATCGCTGACATCGGCGACCTGGTGGTTCTGATGGCAAGAAGACGGTTCGTTCCGCACGAGAACGATTCGGACCAACCCAAACTGAATCGCACGCCCAAGATGATATGCCATGTGTTCGAAAGCGAAGAGGTGAGTGGTCACGTGAACTGTGTTATTTTTTTAAAGTACCCGCACTTTTATAACTGCATACATATTGATCACTAGCGGCCGCCCGCGACTTTGTCGGTGTTTACTTTTAGTTTTTTTCTAATATAAAAGAATTTTTCTAAAATAGAAGTAGTCTAAGTTACTCCTTATTACATCAGCTACCTGCCAATAAAAGTCCCGTCAAAATCGGTCCAGCCATTACAGAGATTAGCCAGAACGAACAGACAAAAATTGTAAAAAATGTTATTTTGGTGTATATGATTATATGCATGTAGTAAAAAGCGGTTATTTCAATATTACAAACAGACACACCAATTTTATTTATATGTATAGAATAGATATTATAAATCAAAGTCGTCCTTGTCTGTATGTTCGCTATGATCTCAAAAAGCACCGAACGTAGTTTCGGGCGGTTTTCAACATTAGATAATTGTTACAGGAAAGTTTATTTAGGTCCGTGTTAACTTCAGTTTTTTGAAAATACCTCAGGAACCTGACACCTTTCCTGGATAAAAGGTATCTTATGGCTCAATTCAGGTCATAAATTACATGTGCACCAAATTATATCTAAATCTGTTCAGTAGTTTTTTCGTGCTTGAGAAACAAACATACAAACCTTTACATTAATAATAATATTAGCAGGATTTAAAGTCCGACCACAAAAACTAAAGTCTATCTACACAGTATCGGAGAAGGGGTCAAATTGTACTTCTTTATCACCAGCCTATTAATGTCCCCACTGCTTGGGCACAGGCCTTCCTTATAGATGGAATAGGAAGATTGGGCCTTAACCCACCACACGGGCACAGTGCGGATTGGTGGGTGCCAACGACTGCAGATGCAGCCTGGACCAACGGCTTTACGTGCCCTCCGAAGCACGGAGGAGCTCGAGATAGTAAATTTTTGGGCACCCATCCAATGTGAAAGTTGCTTAACTTTAACAATCGCAGCCGAATGCGCTAACCACTGGCACCATCGAGCTCAATGAGCTTGTACTTACGTATGCGTATAATAAAGTATGCGAGATAGTAAATATACTTAGGGATCACATTAATGGTAGTATTTATAATACAAAACTAATCATAAAGAAATGTTGTAAAACTCATTGACGCAATAAAACTATTTCATTGTGATTTTCATTCATTAAAATGATACAATTTGCCGTGTTGATTCCGTTTCGTACTGTTAGTTCGAAAGGACGCAGTCGACCCAATTCACAATAGAATTGTATTATCACAGTTATCTTATGTTTGTTTAAGATAAACGAATGAATATAGTAATGTCATAGATTAAGTTACTTTGTACTGTGAGAGCACCCAGAGAGAAGAGAGAATTAAGCAAAACAGTATCAAAGTTGTGAGATTTGATATAAAAAATGCCTTGTGGTGTTTTCGTAGCTAATAAATAAAAACAGTGACAAAGAGTATAGAATAATAATGTGCTGAGCGGGCAACAAAAATATTGACAAAACGTAGTAAAAGAAACAATTTTATCGGCATAATGCCAACAAAATTATTTCAAGTTGATTTAATAAACTCGTATGTGTTTTTAATAAAAAAAAAACAGATACAGTCAAAGGTAACACTAAACATAATGCCTTCATGTATCATGTAATATTCCAGGCGCAATTCATCGCACAATCGATAGGCCAAGCGTTCCAAGTAGCCTACATGGAGTTTTTAAAAGCGAACGGTATCGAAGACCACAGCTTCGTAAAAGAGATGGACTACCAAGAAGTGCTGAACAGCCAAGAGATATTCGGGGACGAGCTGCAGATGTTTGCGAAGAAGGAACTGCAGAAAGAGGTCGTGGTACCGAAGACTAAAGGGGAAATCTTGGGGGTAGTTGTGGTGGAGTCTGGTTGGGGATCGATGTTGCCAACTGTGGTTATTGCCAACTTGGCGCCGGCGGGAGCAGCAGCGAGGTGCGGCCAATTGAATATAGGTAAGCTACTTTAGTTTATATCATCATGAGCCTATTAATGTCCTCACTGCTGGGGCACAGGCCTTCCCTATGGATGGAATAGAGAGATTGGGCCACGACCCACCACGCGGGCCTAGTGCTGATTGGCGGATGCTAACGACTAATGAAAAAAACTATGTATCGCCTACATTTATCGAGTTACTAGTGGCATGCCCTCGTTTCGCTTCGATGTAGAGCTGTAGTGTAGACTAAAATGCCTCTTCATATAATTATAAAAATGAAAATGGTATATTTACCCTTTTCAAACTTCTATTGACATCATGTCACTCAATTGTTTTGCCTTCCCGGAACCTCTCCACTAACATTTGAAATTTATGGTATGGTATTAAAGTTCATATTGACTTTGAAGTATTATTACGAATCGTTATACAAACCAATGGAAGTATAGAAAATTGTTGATTTTGGATTTTTTCAGGCATTTTTTTTAATTTTGCTCTGCGTAAGAACCATCCTCGTACTTCAAGGAATATTCTAAATAAAGAATTATCGAAATCGGTTCAGCTGGTCTCGAGATTTGCGCTTAGCAGCACATTCAGCGCTTCATTTTTATATTATAGATAGGTGAATAACTTATATTGTTTTAAACTTTCATGGTCATTTTCATTATATAATCATTTTTTTTATAAGCGCGAGTGCTGCCATGCCTATCTTACCTACCTTGCTTATCTTACCTTTTGGGTGTTCCCGATATTTCGGCACTAATGCAAGCGCAACAGTCGTTCCATACAAATTATCGAATGGCCGGAATCCAGTAGTTCGTATGTGCAAAAAACCAGAAAACTTAAAAACAGTCTCGTTTCGCGATCAACTACCGTAAGAGACATGGCATGTAACAAAAATGATTATGACAAACAACTTCTTTAAGTAATTATACGTGCAATATTTTGCAGGTGATCAAATTATAGCCATAAACGGCGTCAGCTTAGTGGGCTTACCGCTTTCCACTTGCCAGACGTACATCAAGAACTCCAAGAACCAGACTGTGGTGAAACTCACAGTAGTACCGTGCGCGCCCGTCGTAGAGGTCAAGATAAAGCGGCCGGACACCAAGTACCAGCTCGGGTTCAGTGTGCAAAACGGCGTGGTGAGTATAAATAAAGATGAAGAAGATTTTTAGAATCAGCAGCGAAATTTCACGATAGAGAAAGGGAGAGAGAGAATGATGAATGCTGAAGTTGTGAAAGAGGTAAAGAAGTGTCAATTACGCTCAGACAGAGAAATAGAGAGCATGCAGAGAATGATAAATGCTGAAGTTGTGAAAGAGGTAAAGAGGTGTCAATAGGGTATTTGACAAGTTTTGGAAAACGATCTCACGTTAGTTACTAATGAATATGGAGTCCATAAAATGGATTTTCATCATTCTCTTGTGTATTTCAGTAAAAATATCTAAATCAAAAACTCAATTTTCAAGTTGCCGCGAAAACGTTTCTCTGGGCAATATGGCGTCTCACTGGGGTGTGACGTCACACGATTGTCATTAAATCGTCAAACGATACAATGGTGTCGATTCTGGCACGATTCTCTAAATCTAAACTTAAAATTGACAACAGTGTATCCTTGTCATTCTCTATACAGAATAAAAAGGAGAGACTGATGTTAAATTTAGTTTTAAGTTTAGAGAATCACGCCAGAATCGACTCCAATGTAATGTCACTTTGACCGGAAGTTTACTAGTGTGTGACGTCATTTTAGGCTCCGCCAATCCCAGGCGTTTTCAATCACGTGACAATAGATATGAAAACTATTATCTTTTTCATGGGTTTTTAGTAAAATTATGAATATTTTTTCTGCAAAAATAGTAAAAACCCGTGCCAATATTCATTCTAAATACAGATGCTAACAATTAGCACTTTATTTTTAATAATGTCAAATACCCTATTATTAGATAGTCAAAACAAAAATACGCACAGACAGAAATAGAGAGAGAAAGATAATGCAGAGAATGATAAATGCTGAAGTTGTGAAAGAGGTAAAAAGGGGTCAATTACGCACAGACAGACAGAAATAGAGAGAGAGAGAGAGAGAGAGAGAAAGATAATGCAGAGAATGATAAATGCTGAAGTTGTGAAAGAGGTAAAAAGGGGCCAATTACGCACAGACAGACAGAAATAGAGAGAGAGAGAGAGAAAGATAATGCAGAGAATGATAAATGCTGAAGTTGTGAAAGAGGTAAAAAGGGGCCAATTACGCACAGACAGACAGAAATAGAGAGAGAGAGAGAAAGATAATGCAGAGAATGATAAATGCTGAAGTTGTGAAAGAGGTAAAAAGGGGCCAATTACGCACAGACAGACAGAAATAGAGAGAGAGAGAGAAAGATAATGCAGAGAATGATAAATGCTGAAGTTGTGAAAGAGGTAAAAAGGGGCCAATTACGCACAGACAGACAGAAATAGAGAGAGAGAGAGAGAGAGAGAGAATGCAGATAATGATAAATGCTGAAGTTGAGAAGGAGGTAAAGAGGTGTCAATTACGCACATACAGAGAGAGAGAGAGAGACAATGTAAAGAATGATATATGCTGTAGTTGTGAAAGAGATAGTTGTCAATGTCAATATTACTATAGTTAAATTGAAAGATTGATAAAAAGTCTTTTGATAGACAGTTTTTTGCTTTTCAGGAATGATTGTTAAAGGTTTAATGACCTTCATTGTGTGGTTATAGATCTGCAGTCTCCTTCGCGGTGGCATAGCGGAACGGGGCGGCGTGCGCGTCGGACATCGCATTATAGAGATCAACTCTCAGAGCGTTGTCGCCGTGCCCCACGAGCGGATCGTGAACCTGCTGGCCACCTCCGTGGGGGAGGTATGACCCACGCATCACACTCCATCATTATCACCCGTTAGATCAACTCTCAGAGCGTTGTCGCCGTGCCCCACGAGCGGATCGTGAACTTGCTGGCCACCTCCGTGGGGGAAGTATATCCCACGCATCACACTCCATCATTATCACCCGTTAGATCAACTCTCAGAGCGTTGTCGCCGTGCCCCACGAGCGGATCGTGAACCTGCTGGTCACCTCCGTGGGGGAGGTATGTCCCACGCATCACACTCCATCATTATCACACGTTAGATCAATTCTCAGAGCGTTGTTGCCGTGCCCCACGAGCGGATCGTGAACCTGCTGGCCACCTCCGTGGGGGGGGGGGGTATGTCCCACGCATCACACTCCATCATTATCACCCGTTAGATCAACTCTCAGAGCGTTGTCGCCGTGCCCCACGAGCGGATCGTGAACTTGCTGGCCACCTCCGTGGGGGAGGTATGACCCACGCATCACACTCCATCATCATTATCATTAGTTCATTCACAGAACATAGAAAGAGGTTAGAAGGGCCTTTCTGGGCGGGGAAGGCGCGCCACAGTTATGTGTGAGCAAATGCTCACAACTTGACCAGAAACTTGGTTCTGATTACGTCCTCAATCTCGGGTGTGAGCGAGCTGATTGGTTCGATTGTTTGATGTCGCGTCGTTTCACCAACCGGCACAAATATATGCCCCCACCGGGATTCGAACCCGGGACCTCTCGAGTCGGCGACACCATGAAACCCGGCGTACAAACCACTCGGCCACGGAGGTCGTCATCTACGTAAATGACGTACAAAATATGACGTTTACACAGACAGCGGCGCGGCGCTAGCTTCAATTTTTGACGACCTCCGTGGTCGAATGGTTCGTGGTGTCGCCGACTCGAGAGGTCCCGGGTTCGAATCCCGGTGGGGGTAGATGTTTGTGTGATGAATACGAGCATTTGTACTCCAGTCATGGATGTTCAATATGTATTTCTATCCGTTACCCTAGCATCCCATGACACAAGCCTTACAGTGCTTACTTTGGGACTGGGCTAATTGGTGTGAGTGTTAGATATTCTCTTCTTATTTATTTATTTTAACCACATTCATGAAGATCCTTGTCGCTTGTAAAAGGGGCACCGCCCTTCACAGGACTCGTACAATGCAGACTAATGCAGCTACACCATAATATTTAATGTTTATGTTAAGCTTTAAAGTATAATCTATGGGTCTACGATCATCAGCCTATCACAGGCCTTCCCTATGGATGGAATAGGGAGATTGGGCCCACCCACCACGCGGGCCCAGTGCGGATTGGCGGGTTCCAACGACTTAACGTGCCTTTCATAGCACGGAGGAACTCGAGATAGAAGATTTTTGGTCACCCATCCAATGACCGACCATTGCGAAAGTTGCTTAACTTCAACGATCGCAGCCGAACGCGCTAACCACTCGCGCCATTGAGCTCCTCATATTCATATTTGTCTGCACTCTACATGATAAATGACTATACTTTTGCGTTACTTATTAGATATGTAGATGTATCTGCTAAGAACAATTAAACAATTCCAGATACTGATGAAGACTATGCCCACGTCGATGTTCCGGCTTCTAACGGGCCAGGAGAACCCGGTGTTCATTTAAAGTGACATAAGTGCCTGCTTGCGACATACGCCACGCCACTAGCTTCGATCTCGCCGTTAAAAACAAACATGAAAATAACTAATAACCTAGAAATAATATATACCCCGGCAAACTTCTTGAGCAACGACCATAGACAAGTAAGCCTGCGCAGAAACAATTTTACATACAAAAACGTCTACTGCGCAAGTCTGTCTGTGGTTCGCTCAAGAAGTTCGCCACTGCGTATATATAAACCTTATTATCGCAAAAAAGTTAATCGTGCTTTTAACACGACACCAAGAAATTTTGAGGAGAAAAAATCATGTGAAGAAAAAAATGCATAAATATTGTTTAAAACCGCGTCTGAGGCACCTCGCGCACTAGACGACAGGATTAACTAAAGTTGGTCGTTGCGGCCAAGTGCGCGACGTTCGTATGGTTTCTATACTCTAATTCAACGAATAACGAATTTTCGATCGAAACTTCGCACTTTTCTTGCTATATGTCTGGTTCGTTTTTAATTATAATAATATTCGTCGTCGGAATATATATTGAGGTGTAGATTTTCTAAGCCTACTCAAAGAAAGCTTCAATTTGATAGTTTCTCGTTCAAATTAAGTATAACCTTAAATTGGCGAAATTGAATTTCGTTTAAATTTTGTTATAGAAAATTCGTTTCGGAGAGAGAGAGTAGACCCCTGGTGGTTGCGACCACTCGCGGTGGTCGTGGCCGACAAGTGCGCGAGGCGCCTAACTTTTTTCTAGTACAACCACATGACTATAGTTTCACAAAATAGGAGTAAGTTTGAAAAGTTGAGGGTAACTTGAGCAATATTTCCTATTACAGTCACTGTTTGTACATTTGACGCAGCCTATCCTTTTCATGCGCTATAGAGAATGAAAGGGAGGTACTGATGATGATGTATAAAAAGCAAATACGCATAGCCCTGTGAAGTTCTAAAAATAAAATCTTTGCATATAAAAATATCCTTTATACCGACCCTCACTCAATCAACATGCGGAAAAGTTATATGACGAATATTATGTGCGTATGAAATGTTGCTTAGTTACCGACTGGACTGATAATTTTTTTTGAGTTTTAACATCACTCTCGCATCTCCAAGTATTATTTTTTAAATACCAATAGAATAACAAACATTTAGGTAAATGATTTCGTGGAGTAATTTTTTTCTCTCTAAATTTGGATGAATACTGTTCAAATAGAGTGTGCAGAAACAGAATGGGCGTGGCGAAAAAAGGAACTAACATTAAGATTTATTTGGCAATCAAACCCAGCAATTTGTAACACGTCAAAGTTTTGTATTGATACTGATTTGTTTGATGTTGTGATTTCATGCGGTTTTTTGTATTAAATCATGTGTAAAAGGGGTAAAACCTTACAAATACGGTAGAAAAGCACTACCGCGCCCACCAATCTAAATCCCATTCTCTTTCCGCACAGACTCTAACTGGATCTGTATGTCTTCATAGGAAAGACTTAATTGATGTGGTAACCATTGAAATTAATATCCCATATTAATATTCGAGGAATAAGCTTTAAGACTAGTTACTACTACCTGTTTTGTTCATATCACTGAAATGACATTTGTCATTCAATGAACAGAGACAAAACATGAGGGTGTATTCCGAAATATAAACCAGTACGCTAGCCAGCGGTAATGACGTCATGACTTCGACGCCATATTGCACTGGTGTAGTAGTATTGTTGTCAATACGGCGTCGAAATCATGACGTCGTTACCGCTGGCCAGCGTACTGGTGTATTTTTCGGAATACACCCAGAGTAAATAATGCAAGTTTATTCTTCGTTCATAAATAAGGCGGCATGATATTAGCTGCTATCGAAACACTACGCAATATTCAGAAAAGTGTGTGCGAGATCGGAGCTGAAAAGAGTAGCTTAGCTGACAAAATACTCAAGACATCATAAACAAGTGATTGCAACTTTCGAATGCTTATAATGCTTAAGTGGCTATTAAGATAAGTAAGATAATAAAATTATAAGTTGTATTCTCCGAGTTGTTCTATTGGTTTGTATTTTGGACGGATGCAAACCGATAGAGTTGCCATGACAACGTGTACACGTACTCCATTTAATAATACATAAGATTGAATAAATATCAAACACACTCATATCTGCTTAGATAGATTTTACATTGGGAATCCTGCGGTATAGGTATTGTCAAGCTTGGATCCACATGGAAACATAAACAGCTGTTTAAATTTTAAACTTCTTAATGTGTTTTGATTAATTAAAATATGGCGTACCCAGTTCATGGAATCTCAATTGTTAAATGTTTATTATAATTGTTATCTAAAGAAATACCCTGGGTGTTTACGTAGCTCCACTATATAATATTGCCAGAGCAAATAAAATAGTACGTACTTCCTTTGACGTTTGCGCGCCATATTTCGAGTGTTGCCATTCTAATTTATTTATAATTTCTTAAAATGATTTTTTAATCGATAAATAGTGTGTAATGCTGTTAATACATAAGGTTAATCATTCCATTTTTATTGATGTGTAATATTTATTGATTTTCTGTGTATATTCTGAATTATTTTCGTTTTTATAAATCAATATCTCCTTGTCTACCTTGTTTGTCACACGAATCAATATGCACCATAGTTCAAACCATTTCATGCATCCCTAAATCTTAACGGACGACAACTCTTTTGCTATAGATACGGTTGAAAGTGTGAAACGAGATAATTTTCATTAAAACCCAGTTTATAAGAGTTGTCTCCTGGCAATAGGTTCTTCTTAAAGTGTATAGCTTAGATAGAATATCGCGGACTTCTTGGTAGTGTGTGACTCGGACGATGTTCAATCGAATCGGTGTTTTATCATAAAAAAAAAAATGTCTGAGTACCAACACTTTCAAAGGCCGTAGTCTACGGTGATTAAAGAAATGAATTGATTAGTCTATATATAATAGGTAACCTTATAAATAAAAGCATTATTTCGTGTAGCATTTCAAAAGATATATCATATTTTGTAAATTTTATAGTGTCGCTATAGCATTACAATATAATCTATATAAATATATATCTATATATATTGTATGTATGTCCTGTGTTCTTAGCTAAGCTTAGCGCTCTGAGGACGAGTTTTCTAATTATTATTTTCGTTTATGATATTAAAGTTTATTTATAATGACACAACTAGTCTATCCTATCAGGTTATCCGCTTCTATTAACTACCTACTAACTTTGCAATATAGCTTCGTTCTAGAGTTTGATTGGTGTTCATATTTTATGGAATTGTTTTATAAAATCGGCGTCCTCGACATATTAAAGCCTCGGTCGAGGCGCGTTTTTATCAGTCGATGATATCGAATGCGTTATTGCTTAACGTAACTTCGTTGCCGTTCTAATACATGATGTACTAAAAATAGTTATCGCAATAACGCATTCAAATTATTGAACGTTAATAACGCGCCTATGGGGGAAAGGCTTAAACCATGATTATAGTTTTTTATTTTAGTCATTAACATTGACAGAAATTTATTTTTATTATTTAAATATAATAGTGACTTCAGTATATATAAATCTTTTATAGGTATCCTGAATGTGTATTCAGGTATGTCCTTAAATTTTCCTAATTCAAACAATAGAATATACAGTTTAATAACCGAAGTCCCTATTTCTATTACTGTTAACTTGCCTGTTTTAATTTAAAAGTAAATTTCATATTTATTTTTATAATTAAAATTCAATAGATGGTATTCATTTTAATTGGTAAGTTGTAGGGTTTTAAATTTATTTTTATTTTTGTGAGATCTTAAAACATAGAAGAGTAACCCATTCAATCAATCCTAACCAATCATGTATCATTGGTAATAATATACTTTAATGTCAAATATTATTACACTTACTAAAATTAGTGTTTACAGTCACATATTCATGAAGAAATGACTGAGCAATGCCTCCATTACATTAACCATCCCTTAAAGAGAGAGAGAGAGGGAGAGGGAGGGAGAGAGAGAAAGAGAGAGAGATAGCGAGAGAGAAAGAGAGAGAGATAGCGAGAGAGAGAGAGAGCGATCGTACGGCCTATAAGTAACTTATGTGATCTGCTGCCCGCGATCTTCGCCTCTCCCAAACTTCTACCTAGGGTTACCAACTAGTTGTCTATCAAATATAGTATTTTACGAAGCTGTTACCTCTAAATATATAGTAGGTATGTGGTTTAAATATTTAATTTATATTTACATGAATATTTTTTGCCTCCACGCCTTACTAAATAGATTTTTATTTTTAACGCAAACGCTCTTTACGCAAAATAAAGTTGTTTCGCCTACTATTTATTTTTTCAGATATATAGTATTTGATCCCCAGAATATATTAAGAAACATAAGAATTATACAGTAGTGTTGGCAACCCTAGTTCTACCTGTATTTATTTACTTTGGATAAGGCACGCTGAATCCACTGTCTTTATATCTACGAGTCAAACCAAATGTCGCAAAGTGTGTGTGTCTTGTGGTCAACTTTTATGGTCAATTCATACTAGCTACATGCATGCGCTTCGACTCTGCGTAGTAACATAGATACAACGGTGACGTAGCAAATTCACCTTTATCTCCGCAACGTTAAGCACATATTCCTTCTGAGTTGACATTCAGCGCGCATATGAGCGTCTTTGTATATTATAAAGGCGAAAGTTTGTGAATGTGTATGTTTGTTACTTCTTCACATCTAAAAGGCTGTAGCTAATTTAATAAAATTTGGTATGGAGTTAGCTGCCACCCTGGATTAACACAAGGCTACGTTTTACTGCGGGAGAATATCCCTAATAAACCGCGGGTAACACCGCGGGGCACAGCTAGTATGTACATAACGTTGCGGAGATAATGGTGAATTTGCTTCGTTACGTTTCTGAACTTCGCTTCGATGCGCTTGACTCTGCGCTAGTATGAATTGACTATTACTCTCCACTCTCTGCTAACTTCACAACTGCCATAGAGCTAAGTTCACATTACATAACTTAGTAGTAGGT